AGCCGCGTGGAAACGAGGCCAACGCCGCGACCAACTCGGAAACGGCATTGTAAGCCGCACCGTGCCATGCGTTTACCCATGCAATAGATATGGGCAGGTCGGAAAAATGTGGCACGGCATGAAAACATGCATCGTCGAAAGGTCAAGAGAACTCATTTCCATTCCTCGGATGCGATTGCGCCCTTGGGCCGGGGAAGCCACATGCTAGGGGCGCACTGCATGAACCCAGCTGGAGGCGGACGCAGGCGCGTCGCTCGTGGATTCGCCTTTGACGCAGTTCATAGTCAAGGCGGCTTCCGACGCGCCTCCAGAACACCCGGAGAGAACAGAAAGACAGTTTCGGGTGCTCTCGGAAGCCCCTTATCACAATCCCCCAAAAGGTCAAACTCCTTCAAGTCCTCAAGGGAAGCAGCGACTGTGGCCTGATCGCCTCTGCAGCTCCGGCGCGGTGCTGCCGCCCCACGCAAGCCCCAAGATGGCCCGGGGAGAACTCCGGGGGGCGCCTGACAGGCCGCCAGGACGGCCACGAGACAACCAAAAAACGCCCCAACAGGGCCCCACTAAGGTCCCAGGAAGGCCCCGAAACAATAAGCTGTTCTGTTTGGCCGCGTAGGGAAGGGGGAATCGAGGCCGCAGCCCTGTTCTGATCGACGCCAGCCGAGGTGGCTCCAACACCGCCGCTGGATAAGCCAAACCGAAAAGAACGCGAAGAGGGCCTCCACAAAACCCGCAGACGGCTGCCAGAGTCTTCGTCGTCGTCCTCGTCGTCGTCACTATCTTCCTCATCGCCCTCGCCCTCCCCCTAGAACCAACACTTGTTCCACTGCTTGCCTACGCGACCACCCATCGGATGATCAGGTGGTTCGGGGGGCGGAACCAACGCCTCACTGCGTCGGAACCGCGATCGATCCCCCGGTCGATCCCACTACTTGATCTCTTGATAGGTCTCAAGATCGATCGCGCTACCAGTCCGATCCGAAATCCGATACCACAAACAAACTCAAGACCTGAATCACGATCGACGCCACTCGCAATGGCATGGTTGATGGACCCCTCGGCGCCACCATCAATCGCACGATCGATATCAACACCGACCGCACCGCGAACCTCGCCATCGATCCCATGGTCGATCCCACCCGGCCGATCTCATTCGATCAATCGCTCTCTTTACCCGATACCACGACAGAACTCGCGATCGATCCCAGGACGGGTCTTACGATCGAGCACACGATGGATATCAGGAAATCCCTAAAAAATCCCACGATCGATCTCAGTACCCAAAACGATAACGACTTCACTGTCGATCTCACCATAGACCGCATTAACGTTCCCACTTCCGATCTTATGAAAGTACAACCGATCGCGCCACCGATCTCCGCGTCGAACCCACGATCGATCTCGCGCGAGTGACCCCGATCGATCTCACCCGATCGATGCCACGATCGACCTCGCGATCGGTCTCACCATCACGCGGACAACGTGCAACGTCGCCTCGCTCGCGCGCGCGATATAAGCACAAAACCGAAATTCTCTTTGCCTGGGGGGGGAGGTCGCTTTACTGCGATGTCAGCCCATCGCTCCGAATTCTGCGTTGCCCACGATCTAGACAACTCGCCGGGGCATCGCTCTAGATGGGCCGGCGGGGACACGCGAAGCAGGACAAACTGAACGCCCTCTCTTTCATCGGGCGATCGTCCACATGATGGCCCCAACACGGGCAGCAGGAGAGCTCCGAAGAGGCCGCGCGAATGCCCCGGGAACGCCCCCGAGGCCCAAAAGGTCCAAGGATAATACCAGAACCGCCCACAGCGGCCTTGAGCTCGCTCCACGAAGCCCCCAAGAGGCGAAAGATCCGCGCGGGCCTTTTTATCGTTGACATCTTAAAGCATGCTGCCAAACTACCCTGATCAAAGCAACTCGCCGCGCGATCGGTCCTGGATGGGCTGGTTGGAACACGCGAAGCGCCAATAATTTCAGCCCCGCGCACAACTCCGCCAAACTCCCTAGGTTCGGCCGGCGACGCGCCCCAGAAATCCTCAATGCAACGCGGCCGTGCGCATGCGCGCAAATTGGCGTCATGGATGACTGCGCATGTAGTTGAGGGCCATGTCCGGGGCCCCCACCAACTCGCACTCGCATCGCCCACCAGGGGCCGCGCGGCCAACGACGAGCGGGACACAGCTTGAGCCAATTGTTCAATATGCTGCCCACGTGCTTTCTGCATCCCCTTCCCATGATATTCCTCTCGCGAACTCGCGCCGCGCCATCTTGCCCCCCACCTTGCTGCGCCTTGATCCCGCGACCTCCTTCGACTTCCCGATCCTTGGCGACGCCCGTTCAAGATCGGCGCCCTTCGCATCCCGCCCAGCCGTTCCACGGCAATGCCCGCCGCGAGGGGCCCTTTGACGTGAACTTGGATGGCGCCCGCGAAGTGGGCCCGCTCGCCGCCCCCCTCCTGCGCCGGGTCAAATTGCCCCACGCTTGCAGCGCCTGCGCCCGTTGCCTCAGCCCCTGGGCGCGGGCGCGATGCCGCTCCGCAACCGTTGCTGGGCGGCCTCAGCAACGGCCGGCCGCCCTGGTCACTCCTGCCGATGTTCATCGCGCCGCGACTGGTTCTTCCCCCACCACCCCCGCGGCCGCCCTCCGCCTTCCTGTCCCTGCGCGCCGCCAGGCAATGCACATCCTGCGCCCTCGACAACTTGAGCGCGCGCGGCTTGCCTCTACTGCGCCTCGGCGAAAAGGGTCCAGGAAGGGCGGGGTCGGCCGCCTCGCCGCTGGAAACAGAATTCGCATGATCGCACTTACGCGAAAGACAACGAAAGTCCTGCTGCGCCGCTCATTTAGCGCGGTCGGCAAACATGATCTGGCGTTGAAGCGACACCGGCTGCGCCGTCGAGCTCGGGCGACGCCCGCCAAACATTGAGACGCCACGGGCCGATTGGAATGGGCTCAAATACATTCGCTTTCCAAAGCAAGGGGATTCGTGGGCCGAGGGGGGGGCGCATTCTCAACACTACCAGGCCGTGCATGTGCATTCGCGCAACGCCCAGGTCAGCTGGCGCCGCGACGCCCGCGCCGCAGCCCGCGCCGAAGCTGCGCGGCGGCGGGCGAGCATCGCAAGCCGATGCGACGCCATCCGTCTCCAACAGCAAAGTAAACACGACTGCCTTCGTCGATGGCGGTTGCTTTCTTTTCCGGGCAAGCCCACGCGATCGACGTGGGCCGTTTCCCCGCGGCTTCGCTCGACGCACCCCCCCCCTGCGCCCAAGCCTTTTCGAACAAGCGGTTATTCTCGCCCCTCTCCCGTTTATTGAATGCGCCATGCTCGTGGGGACGCTGAAATAGAACAAAGCAGATCGCAGCCCCCGCGTTGCTGGAAGACTCGGCCGAAGCGCACGTCGCCGGTTGTTTCCGGCGCCCCCGCGCTCCTGGGCCATTTGCGCCCGGCTCTGCGCGCAGAGTGGCGCGCCAGCGCGTCAGTTTCATTCGACGTCCACCGCGTCAACTCCCCCCTCGTGGCAGGGTGTGCAATTGGTCAACGCCAACTCGCCACGCTGGATGGCCTCTCTACTCAGGTGGGCAAGCAGCCGGAGTCTTGTCGAGAAGACGGCGTAGAACGCCTGACAGTCGCAATCGCGGCCGGCACACATGCGCACGACATTCCTCGCGCCAGGTTTGACGCGCATTCGCGCTAACAGAACCCACCTGTTCCAGAAAACTCGGCCACTGCTGCGCGGGCGCGAGTGCGAAGCAACCAGCGGGCGCGCAATTTCACTGGCACGTCGATTGTCACGGACAGAATCAGCGAAGAAATGTTCTGGAACACGTGAATCCCACTCCTCGGCGTGATCGCGCATATGCTTGCCGCGCCTCAGGGTTCGCATCGGGGGGGGGTGTTGTCGCACCTCCCTGACACGGGCAAACTTTTCATACAGCAGCCTCAAGTCCTTGCCAGCCAGCTGAGCCCAGGGGAACACTGGCCGTCCAACTTCGCTCCGGAGCAACAGCATGTGGCCTTCAACGGATGCGGCAACGACCTTTATCTGCCCAAGAATTTAGAATCTGCAGCTCACAAATTCGCGGGTGATCAAATGAACGCTGGACTCCACGCGAACTTTCAAGTCGGGCCGACCGCTTGCGCCGAACCGATCAGCATCGACGGTTCGTCTGTGAAGACGCACGCACGTAGCACTCATAACACCGCATATGCGCATTGAACAATGAGACGACAATACTCTCGCATAGCGAAATGTCCACCACCATGTCAAATTCCCTCCGCCAGAAGACCCGCCTACAAATCGGCACGCTAGCGCCCATTGCTTCTTTTACGCGTAGGCGAAGTTGCCACCTTTTCGCCTCGACTGCACAGCCAGGACGAGCCTACACGCCTACAAATTGCACACCGCCATCAAAAAAGGGGATTGGCAAGGCTCGCCCCCTGTCGGTCTGCAAAGTCTGCCACACCGCGCACGCATCCGTCCCCCTCAGAACGAGTATGCATGCTGTCTTCCATTTTTGAATTTGATCACCATCCTGTGCTTGGTGAAAAATATCGTCAACTGTACGCAAGGGGACATGGATAACAGACAGCATGACACAAAGGGAGAAAGCAAACATAACGATGCCAACATCATCAACAAAGGCAACATCAACCCCCTCCTCCTGCTCCTCCTCCTCGTCCTCCTGCTCCTCCTCCTCCTGCTCCTCCTCTTCATCCTCCTCCCTCCTCCTGCTCCTCTTCTTCTTCTTCTTATTTTGCTTCTTCTTCTTATTATTATTAGTATGCTTATTCTGCTCTTTACGTTTGTTATTATTATTATTATGATTCCTCCTCCTCCTCCTCCTCCTCCACGTCCGCCTCCTCCTCCTCCTCCTCCTCCTCCTCTTCCTCCTCCTCCTCCTCCTCCTCCTCCTCTTCCTCTCCCCCTGTCATCCTCCCCTCTACATTCCTTGCACCGCGCTATGCGATTCTCCTGCCCTGCACAAGCGCTCCCCCCAGCCTGGACTCTCTTCGGAGCGTCCTGGACCATGTTCTCCGCCCCACATCGCGGGCACGGGAAGGTGAAGTCCACGTGCCCAAGCGGCACCTGCACCTCGCGCTTCAAGAAGAACGACTGGGAGAAAACAAGACCCCCCCTGGCAGGCGAAGGGTAGGCTCAACGGCCACGGGCGATGGAATTCTGTCGTGCTGTGCCACGAAGAATTGAGGACATGACTGGACCACATAAAGAAAAGAGCATGTCCGTTCGAAGTGCTCAACCACGCAGGAGGTTTCAAGGATTGAGCACATACGCCTTAACCAACCAGTTGCTTTCCTACGAATCGAAGTGAGTATTGTCAACTTGTGTTTGACGCTTTGAATCATGTTCTTGAACGACTGCGCACATACATATTCAAAGCCTCTGCGCATTCAGCTGATATATGAAACGCGCTTGCTTAACGCACTCGTTAACAAATTTGTGACCACGCACTGTTCACAACTAATTGAACACGCAGGTGACCGGATGATGTTGCACACCCCAAATCGAGTGCATCACCTTTCGACTCTATCCACCTACTCCCGACATTCTTGCTCACACCCTCCACTCGAGTTCTTGGAGACCAGACACGCACATGAAAAATCAGAATGGCACTACAAGGGGCGGATAAAAACACTGCGAAGCACCGGGATGCTGTTGCTGCAGGCGTGGCACGCGACCATGGCGATATGATGCTGCGTCTCCTCCCCCCATAATGGCCGCCAACGTGCAATTGTCCCATCAAGGCGGTCCCGTTCTAGCACCATCACAAGCCTCCAAAGGGAGCCAAATGACCCAGCTGTTGAAACCACGTTTCCTCCGCATGACTGCCCTCCACAAGCGCGGCTCGCGGATTGAGTGCGTGCGTCCCGTTGAAATTCATGTTCCAAAAAATCACGGTGCAACAATTTGATCGTTCCACCGAGTCGTCGTTACGCACCGACATGTAATACATCTTCCAACGCAGAGATTGGTGTATTCGTGGCGACCGGCACCCGTCTCGCAGGATAACAAAACAAACTGCAATATCCGAGCCGTAGAAAACACCGCCGCCGCCGCCGCCAGCCAGCAACGCCTCCGCCCTCCTGGAAAGAGAACAGCTGAGGTAGCCACCAAATCAAGCTGACTCCTCCTGCGTGCTCCCTCACCACCCACAAAAGAACTACCCGCCACCATGCCGCAGGCACTGAATCGAGTGCCCTCAAATCTTGTACGGTCCCTTCGGAGTCCATGAGGCAAGAGGCCATCATATTAGAAAACGCGCCGTGCATGTGTTTGAAGAGCATCACTCCCCTTCGGTCGGACAAGCGTCCACGACGACCCGACACGCAGCCAACCTTGCCCCAAGCCGACCCCCGAGCCACCAAGCAGGAGGCTCAAAAAGGCCCCGAGAGGCCCAAAAGGAGAAGCTCGAATTGGCCAAGACTTTCCCCTCCAAACCAGCACACGAAATTGCCAGCGCGCAGATGCCAGCGCTTCCAGCCACAGATGAGGAGGGGGAGTAGGAGGACGAGAAGAAAGAAGAGGTTGAGGTTCAAGCGGGTGGCAAAGAGAACGAGGAAGAAAGGAGGAGCAGGAGGCAGTAGAGGGAAGAGGAGGACCACGTGTTGATCTCTTCACCGTCAGACGATGACCTCTCGTTATTGACCGAATCTGCGGCATTCAGCGGCACAAGCACACTTCCACAACGCGCGTGAGCACTTCAGCAGGGCCCCCAGGCGGGCCACCGCAGCGCCCGCGAGCACCACCGCGCCTATGAACATTACACTGCTTGTGAGCGCCGGCGCGACTACAGACACCAGTCCCTGTGAACGCCGACCCCGCACAAGCCTTCCACGCCCACCCACCCACCCACCAACCCACCAGCCCACCCACCCACCCCAGACCTGCGTAAACGCCAAGGTCAAGCTATTTGCGGGATGGGGGTGGGGCGCACCCGACAACCAAGGATATGGCCGGACCCCTATTTAGCGAATATCTTGGAGACAGACCCAGCCATGTGCAGGCGTGCGTACCGCAAGGCAGGCGGGACGAAGGAAAGGGAAGTCCATCGGGCTGCGAAGCGCGTGAAGGGCTTGTCGAGATGGGGCGCTGACGCCATGCGGACCCTGGCATTTGGGCCGTAGCTGGAGCTCCCAATGGGGCCTCGCAACGTGTGCAGGGCGTGCCGAAATGAGGCACCACGCCATGCCGATCCTGGCACTTGGGCCGTAGCTGGAGCTCCCGATGGGGCCACGAACTGTGCGACGGGCTTGCCGACGTGGACATGCGAAGGGCAGAGGCAGGGATGCGAGGAGGAAGGGGAGGAGGAAGGAGGAAGGAGGAGACGCGGGGCGCTGCCTCTTCGAAACGAGGACTCGAAACCGTAGAATGGTTGGGAACGAAACGCACTCCAATGAAGATATACCCTACTACATCCGCATTCAGCGTGAATCCTCTCGCGGACCTCACTTAGATGTCTACCTCAAAGCGTCCGAACGGATACGTCAACAATCCTCCGATTCGGAAAATAAGGTTAGACTTGCCAGAGGAGTGGACGGTTAGATCCCGTGCTCCGCCAACAAACGCCGACATCAAACCTTTCATGACTACCAGAGTATCACACCTGATTCCACAAAGGTAGTGGTGTCATCTCCGAACTGTGCAAATTTACACATGAACTGCCTGAAGGCACCTCTACGAAATGATCATAACAAAGGTGGCTGGTAGCTGTAGTATTGAACGATGTGTGTCAGACGTACTACAGCCACGTATCTATATATGTATATATATACACATATACATATACACATATATATACCTAGTCTCAATTCTCTCATTTTCGTTCTCTCTCCATAGATACCTGGCTGTATGCACACTATCAGTATCGGCGGACGCATTGGCATAACACATACTCATCATGAGCGGTTGCAGATTCAGCGAAGGAGCACAACATTGAGCTAAAGTGTGCTCTTCTGAGCGGCGCGAGCGCGGTCATGATACGCATTCCTACTTGCACACGTGCCTCTCGTCGACCAGGGACTGATTGCTAAAACGGCTCCCCTCACCCCGGGCCCGCCAAACTGGACCAAATCTAACCGACATTTGCTCACGTGCTGCTACTTCCCCCCGTGTCCTCCACATTGGTCGCGAGCTGTGGGAGTGCCGTTGCCGCCGTACCTCGGGCCGGACGACAGGGGGGGGAATTGGGAAAAGGGGTGCAACGAAATCTGCTGCATGCAGCTGGCTTCGGCCCCGCCGCCGGGCCCACTCCTCGACACATGGGCACCTCCCGGCGATGGGAGGCGCCAGGAGAATCAGCTCCTCCTCCTCCTCCTCCTCCCTCCCTCCTCCCTCCTCCCTCCTCTCCTCCTCCCTCCTCCCTCCTCCCCTCCTCCCCTCCTCCTCCCTCCTCCCTCCCTCTCCCTCCTCCCTCCCCCTCCCTCCTCCTCCTCCCTCCTCTCCTCCTCCTCCTCCTCCTCCTCCTCCTCCACCTCCTCCTCCTCCTCCTGCTCCTCCTCCTTGAGTTGATTCTCAACCCCCCCTCTGCTATCCCCCCCTTTCGCCCCGCCCGAGTGCCGCTGCCGCCATGGGTGCACATCCAGGGCGGGCCGCGGTCGCCGCCGTGCCGCGCCGCCCCTCTTGGCGGCGGAGGCCACGGGCCCGCCCCGCGGCCCGAGGCCGCCCTGGTGAGCGGCCGGCTGGACGCGACCGCAGGGCTCGAGCTTGCGTCGGATCCCTCGTCCCTCCCCTGTGGGAAAAACACACACACACAAAACACACACACACAATAAAAAAAACACAAACACACACACACACACACACACACACACACACACACACAACACACACACAAAACACACACACACACGCACAAAACACACAAAAAAAACACATCTTCATCGATCTCGCCCAGGCCATCACGACCACCAATCGGCGCCGTCGGCAAAGCCATGGCCGTCGTATCGTCGTGTTTGCCGTGCTCACAATCACGACGATGTGGCTGCCGGAGAGTCGCAAATCCCACATGTTCGGACGAAACGGAAGCGAAATGATGACAAGGATTGTAGGTGCCGTATTGTTCAGGATCGGCGGCCACTCGAGTGGGGGAGGGGGTACTTCGCAGTGAATAGCAGAGGTGAGGGCGATGGTGAACTTGAGGTGTGAGGAAGTGGAAAGCGGTGAGCCGAGAGAGCACACGAGCCCCGCTTAGAATATGATAGGAAAACAGCTCGCCTTGCAGCAAGACCACGGACCTGAGCCTGCGCATGCTGCCCTTCCCGCACGCCCCGCCTACAGAAAGAGGAGGGGGGCAGAGGTTGAGAGAACGAAAGGGGGGAAATGCGAGAAGGAGTGCCCTCAGCCCTCTGGCGTCGGTGTTTTGGCGGGCAGGTTCTTCCAAGACCACCTGGATCGGGGAAGGGTGCTCCCCTGCTGCGACACGTGCTGTGCTCAGCTCCCCGTGGAGGGGGGGGGCCACCGTGCCTCCCGCCCTGCGGGCGCAAGAATCCTTCCAACAGGAGGGAAACGCTCTCTAAGCGACGAATACCTGGGCAAAGAATGATGCTGTTATGTCGGGCGTGTCCCCCCACAGGGGGATTTTCGACGAAAAGTGGAACATACACCAAAAATATCCCCGAAAAGGCCAAAAACTATTCAAAAAATAGTCCCCAGACTATTTTTAGACTATTTTTGGATTATTCTTGGGGTATTTTTTTATTTTTCGTCGACAATCCCCTTGTCGGGGGACAGGCCCGACTTAATGATACTGCTGGGCTGCGTGATGATCGAACCCTGACCCGAAAAAATGTCCTGGCGAAAGACCCCACGATAGGCAACTGAGAAGGCAATCTTGTGGCACCGCTTCCGGTGGAACTGCCAATGGGGCCACGAACCGTGTAAGGGGTGCGCCAAAATGGGAGAAAGCGCGTTTCACGGGCGCTTGCCTTGGGAACATTCGGCGGCGCATTTCGAACCGGGGGGGGTCCCCCCCAACACTCGGCGCCGTCGATCAGAACCAGAGGGTCTCACCTTCCCCCTTACCCCCCCCCTCCCTACCCCACCCCTCCTCCCTCTCCTCGGTGCCAGTTCTGGCGCCTTTACTGGCGGCGGCTGGCAGCAACGGCAGCCGCAGCGACGATGACCAGAGAGAGCCCAGAAGCCGCCACGGGAAAATACAAATTGCCATATCGAGCCTTTGCTTCCCCAAAACCACAAGGAGCGCTTAGGAAGTTCCCAGAGACGCCCAAGAGGCGCCCGTGAGCCCTCACATATGCTCCTCAGACGCCCCCAGGACCCCTCTGACGAGACCCCAGGAGGCATCCATTGGAACTATAACCCAAAGCCAAGACACAGTGACGGGAGGACCCGAAGGCCACGCCACCACCACCACCAACACCACCACAAACCACCGCACCACCACCACCGCCACCACCACCACAACTACCACAACCCACCACCACCACAACGACCCCCACCACCACAAACCACCGCACACCACCACCACCACAACCGCCACCACCACCACAACCCACCACTACCCACCACAACCACCACAACCACCACCATAAAACACCACCACCACCACCACCACCGTCACCACAACGCACCACCACCACAACCCACCACCACCACAACCATCACAGACCCACCCACCACCACCACCATCACCACCACAACCACCACCACCACAACAAAACACAACACAACCACCACCACAACCACCACCACCGCCACGGCCACCACCTCTACCACAAACCACTTAGCGGCACAACCACTACCAACACCACAACCACCACAACAAACCACGACACCACCACCGCCACCGACAGCACCACCACAACCCACCACCACAACTACCACCACCACCGCAGACCACCAAACCACCACCACCACCACCTTTCGCCACCACATCAACCACCACCACATCCAACAACCACCTCACCACCACCACCACCACCACCTCCACAACCACAACCACCACCACCAACACCACCACCGCCATCACCACCACCGCCACCACGCTCAACCCACCACCACCACAAACCACCACCACCACCACAAACCACCACGCCACCACCACTACCACCAAAACCCACCACAACCACCACAAACCACCACACAACCACCACCACCACACACCACCACCACCACACCACCACCACCACCGCCACCGCCACCACCACCACAACAAAACACCACACCACCACCACCACCACCACCACCACCACCACCACAAACACCACCACCGCCACCACCACCACCCCTACCACAAACCACTCAGCGGCACAACCACTACCAGCACCACAACCACCACAACAAACCACGACACCACCACCGCCACCAACAGCACCACCAGAACCCACCACCACAACTACCACCACCACCACAGACCACCAAACCACCACCACCACTTCCTTTCGCCACCACATCAACCACCACAACCACCACCACCACCAACAACAACAATCACCACCACCACCTCCACCACGACCACCACCACCACCACCACCCACCACCACCGCCACCACCTCAGAGAGGCCCCGAGACCCAAGAGGCGCCCAGGAGGCCAAGGCCGGCGGAAGGGCTCGAAGTCCACACGAGCGACGATCAGAAATGGGTTTCACGCGACATGACACAGCGACCTCACGCGGCAACTTCCGCGGGCCGCCAACGGCACGCTGCATTGGAGACGCCGGCGCCAGCTCGAGGAGAGGGAAAGAGAAGTAGGGGAGGAGCGAGGAAGGGGATAAGGGGGGGGTCGGTTCCAACCCCCCCTCCTGCTGCTGGGGCCTTCGGTGGAGCTCCCTGCGGGGCCACGAACCGTATGAAAGGTGCGCCAAAATGTGGCAGCGCCGCTTTTTTTACCCTTCCACCGGAGCCTTCGGCTGATCTTCCTATGGGGCCACGTACTGTGTGAGGGATGCCCCAAAATGAGACGGTGCCGCCACGGGGACCCTGTCACTGAAGCCTTCGGTGGAGCTTCCTATGGGTCCACGAACCGTGTTCGGTGGAACTCCCTATGGGGCCACGAACCGTGTAAGGGATGCGCCAAAATGGCGCCGCAACGTGGACCCTGCCACTGGGGCCTTCGGTGGAGGTCCCTATGCGGCTACGAACCGTGTGAGAGGTGCGCCAAAATGGGGAGGCGGCGCCATGTGAACCCTGCCGCTGGGGCCTTCGGGAGACCTCCCTGCGGGGCCACGAAGCGTTGCACTGGGCGTGATGACAACAGAACCGTGCGGAGGGCAGAGGCAGGGATGGGAAGAGGGAGGGAGGAGGAGGAAGGAACGCGGGGCGCTGTCTCTTCAAAACGAAGACCCAACACCACAAAATGGTTGGGCAAAAACATGACTGCCCATGTTGGACATCCGTTGACAACTCTCCGTCGCTACGTTTGACTATGAGTCGAGTCTAAATCGCAGAGATGGGGTGGGGAGTGGCTGGGAAGTGTGAAGGGGCCCTGGGACACAAAAATAAATACACACAAATAAAAGGATTCCCCATATTTTCTGGGTTTTTGTCTTCCCCCCAACTTCCCATATTTTCCCATGTTTTCCTGGGAGTGGAGGATTAATTGTGTCTGTGTGATTTTTCCCCTCCTGAAAGTGGTATGCCACTCCTTGACAACATCATCCCGATTTAGGGTCGCCACGATCGCCGCGGCGACCTCAAACATTGGCCCGGAGGTTCGGCTCGGGTCGGACATCACGCAGCAGCAGTTGTCGGAATCTGACTACCGAGTGAGTGGTAATGTACAACATGCGCACTCAAACAAGCGCGTCGCCCAGCCTGAATGTCATCATGAAGCCTCAGACCTCTCGAGACTAATTCGCCTCCGATGCAATCAACAAACATCGCCTCGCCTCAACCAGATGCAAACCAATGCTCCCAGGTGGCCGAGCAGCCTGTCATCTGATGCGACAGTATCCTGCGCGGCGCCGCGCCAGGCAGACAGCAAGGTCAGAAAACTGGGTGCCCCCGCAGGGCGCCTGAAAATCAGCCCCGGGCCGGATGCCGCAGTGGGCACGGGCGAGGCGGTGCCACTCGGCCTGCACGGCCCGCAGACGCCGCTGGGCCTCAGTGTGGCTCGGGGAAGTCCTCGCGCTCCAGGTCTGGAGCCGCCTCGGACAGCGCCACGCCCTCCAGGCCCCAGGTGAACGCCGGCGGTGCAGGCAGGCACACCACGGACGAGCCGACCCGCAGCGCCCAGAGCTCCTCTGCCGTCCTGTAGCCCACCAGGCGCCACCGCAGCCTGCTGCCAGCGACAGCGGGCGCCAGGCCGCTGCGACCGGGGTCGTCCTCCCCGAATCCCCGACGCTGCCTAAAAACAATGCGCTGTGACATTTGCACGGGATCTTTCGAGCCGCATCAATCTGCAGAGGTCACTGGCCCCGAAGCGACATTCCAGGGGCTGAAATTACCTAGTGTACCTGGCGTGACGCCAGCTTGATAATCTGGAGGCTTCGGGTCATCGTGCTACCACAAGGAACGCAAAATAAGGCACCAAGCCTTTTTTGGACACAAGAGCGCCTGGGTTTACGAGGAGCGCTGAAGGAGCAACCATGGAAGGACCCAAGGATCACCGAGTCCGAACTAATCCTTCTTCCAGCCTCTTGGCCGCACATGTTCCACATAGCTTAGCATCCCATCGTAACAGTGCTGAGTAAAACAAAGCACACACGTCGAGACCACTGCAGGGCAAATCAAGCAAGACGAATCCAAGCAGAGCAGCACACGTAAAAATAGAACACGACAAGGCAAAAAAAACCGAACGCCGTGTGCGACCCGCGAGCGCCCCGAGCAACCCCCTCAGCGCCCTCAACGACCCCAGGGACCCCCAGCATGGACGACTACGCGCCCAGGAGACCAGGCCCCCAAGCAACCCCGAGGAGCCAGAGCCGACCACCGCAAGACCTCGGAACCCGTTGTGCACAGAGCAGCAAGAGAACCCTTGGGCAAATCTGTGTGGAAATATAGCCTGTCCTGCTTTTTCGGCGGTGGACGAACCTCCCTGTAGCAAACCTCCCTTCAGTGAAAACGGCCTGGCACCGACGCCGACGGACCTGGACCCGCAAAAACGACGGCGGCGACGCCCTCTCGCGAACCGAAAGCGGCCAAGTCGCTAATCGACGCGTCAGGGTAGGAGGCCTGTCCACCTCCGATGTTTGGGACAGCGCCCGGGTGTCGGAGTCCAGCAGCGCGGCCCGGGAGGGCGGCAGCCCTGCCAGGGGGGGCTGCCCAGAAATCAGCGCAGCGGCACAGCGCGCGGCGGCGGCGGAGTCGTCCACGGGGCACTCTGCGGAGAGCCGGCGGCTGGCCTCTGGCGGCAACTCATGGAAGCCTCCTGTGTCTTCTCGCTGGCTCTCGCGGACCGACGCTAACCTCGGGTCGGGCATGTCCCCGTACAGGCGGATATTGGGGGAAAATGAAAATGGTCTACAAATGCTCAAAAATTGGGATCAGAGAATAGAACAATCGTCCCCTGACTATTTGTTAGAACTATTTTTGAACTTTCCTCCTGCAGGAGGGACATGCCCGACTTAACGCTAACCGACGCTCCTCATCGATTGCCAGACGCCAGCGCGCGCGAGTGCACTCGAAGGACGGAGCGCCGAGGACACACAAAGCCCCACGAGATGCTGCCGCACCGGCCTCCTCCGCGAGAGGGCCCGCGACCGCGCGCCAGCGCGCCAGCTGGCCGCCCGCGCGGCAGGCCATGGCGAAGAGCAGCACGGCGACCTCGAGCAGCAGCTGCGCAGGCACGACGCCTGGGCCCACCGCCCGGGCCAGGCGCGCCGCCTCCCTCGCGAGGGCCGCCCCCGGCGCCAGCGGCGCCGTGGACAACTCGACCGCAGGCTCGCCTGCGGCGAGGCACAGAGCCGCCCACGCCCGGGCCACCGCGGCAGAGGCCGTGCGGGCCTGGCCCGTGGGCACCAGGGGGGCGCTATGCTTGACGCTGGGCGGGCCCGCACCGGAGGGCAGCAGCTTCTCTGGCAGGGAGAAGGTCGGCGCCTCTGACGCAAGGCCACCTGTGGCGGATGCGCGGGCACGCCGCGGCATGTGGTGTGGCATCGACACGGCCCCCCGCCTCACGGGGCCTGCGGCCTTCCCCGACGGGGCGGGCGCGAGGGCCACATGCGTCGCCAGCGCCTTCGCCCACAGCAGCTGCTGTACCGCCTCTGGCGGCAGGGATCCCCCAGGCGGCAGCCAGCGGTTGCTGCTGTCCTCGTTGGCGCCAGAAGGGCTGCGCCGCCAGCCCCCCGCTGCGGCCGCCAAGTGTGCCGCGGCACGCTGGTGCAGCTGCAGCGCCTCTGCGACGAGCTCCAGGGGCGCCGTGGCGCCGCTGCTGCTGGCCGCCCGGGCTGCCTCCGGAGTGAGGCCAGCGGCCAGCCGGCAGAGCTCTGCCCTGTGCACACACGTCGCTGCCATGGCCCTTGGGTCGGGCGCGTACGCGCGCTCGGACGACCAGCGCGCCCGCTGCAGGTGCCGCCGCGCTGCCGCGAGCGCCTCCGGGAGGCCGCGGCCCGATGGACCAACGGAGGCGAGCGCGGCCCGCGCCTCGGCGCGTGCCGCGTCGCAGAGCAGACCCGCGAGGTCCACGAAGGCGTCGTGGGCCACCCCGAGCTCTGCCTGCATCTCCCAGGCGTGCAGCGCCCTCCGGATGGCGCGCCGCACTGCCCACTGCCGCACCTCCACCGCTTGGCCTGAAGAGGCACTTGCGCACACCTCGCCCTCCAGCGTGGTCAGCGACGCGAGGGGCACCACCCGGTGGGTGGTCCCGCCGTCGGCCCAGTCCACCGTGCACTCGCCAGCTGCGACGTCAACCGACCGGAGGGTTCCGGCGTACTCCCCGCCGTCCTCCGCCCAGGGCGCCAGCACAGCGTCCCCTGGCTGGAAGCGCCGCTCGGCCGTCCCTGGGGCTATCGATGCGGGGGTGTGGAGCAGCAGCAAGCCCTCGGCATTGCAGGCCAACGCCCGCAAGAGCGGCGATCGCGCTCGCCGCCAGATGTCCCGGTAGGTTCCCACTGCATCCTCGCGGCGCCAGGGCCCGATGGAAGAAGAGAGAAGGACAACGGATCCCGCAAACATCCTGGGAGAGGGCCGTGCTCGCTGCCCCATACCAGGTCGTAGGGCGCAAATGCTCCGCTGGTCATTCCTGGCCCCCGATCCTGGCGCATGTTCTGGGCCAATCCTCCAGAAGGGGCCTCAAACGCTCAGAGGGTGGTTTCCTGTGGGCGATCACCCCACAATCCCCGACGTGAAAAACACGCCAGGGGTCCAGAGCTCCCGACGCAATCGTTGCAAGGGACTGTGCAGGCCCAGTCGACTTGCGGACGGCCCCGAACTCCAAAACTAGGGTCCAGGAGACAGAAGCCTAGAAATGCGGCTGTCACGCGACTGGGACCCAGCGGTATATCGTCGGCCTCGGTCACCGCGGACATGTTTCTCGGATGAAGTTGGCACCTGGCCGAGCATATGTAACAGCCCGCATGACGCACAGAACCCCGCCGACCCTGTCGGCGTGTGTGAGCCGCGTTTGCGTGTGAGTCGTCGTCGCCGTCGCCGCTCCCTCCATCTCCCTGGGCCCTCCTCCTCAAGCGATCCAGCCAAATGGAAATCAAACAATGTCGTAATTGATTCGAAGAGAAGCCCCCTACCTTTGATCCCTTCCCTGGCGGGACGGGGGGGGTTAATTAGCGCGGGGGCGCCCGGGGGGGTCCCGGCAGGGATCCCGGGGGTCGAGACCTCTGGGGGGTCCCCCATGTGGACAAGGGGGGCAGAGGGGGGTCCCCTTGACTCAGGACCCCTCACCCCGCCCCCCCTGTGGACAAAGGGACCACCACCACCCCCTCCTCCTGCAATCTCCCCCCCTTCGGAGCTTTCGGAGGGATTCCTCAAAGTTACCGGCTGTTGCGGGGTGCTGCGTGTTTTCCTTCATGCCTCCAAGAGGCCGCAGATCTGCTCGGAGGCGGCCCCACGTGGCCCCAGGGTTTCCCAAAGAGTCCCCCAAGAGGCCCTCCAACAGAGCCCATTTACGTTCACCCAAAAATTGCCGCCGTAGTCCCCTTTCAGGGTCGGCGGCGCCGGGCGCAAGGCCTTCCCGATATCATTCGACACATCTTCGAACCCTGGCGGGAGGAGCCTCCATGGCCCCACCACTGAAGGGGAGCTGTGACGGGGGGAGACAGCCTGGCCCGGGGGGTGGGGCCCATCCCCCTGGAACCAACGATGCATCGCCCAATGGCCCGCCACGGAAAAACCGCACGTGTTTGACCAGGGTGAGGCACCCAAGCCTCGAGCGGCGAAGAGTCGGAACGCAATCGGAACGTAATAGAAGAGTATCCCCGCCCCGACATGGGCCGACTTCTCCTTCGCTGCGCCTCCGCCCCCAGGGCCCCCGCACCCCCCGCTGCTCCTCTACACGGCCAGCGGCTTGTGCCTCGAAGGCGCCGGCCAGCGCCCGGGCGGCGGCGGCGGGCGCGAGGGGCTGCCAGGCGGGCGCCAGCGCGCCAGGCGCGCTCTGGCCCGCGGCGCCGCTGCCTGAAGCGGCCGACAGGCAGCGCCTGCCAGCGTGGCGGATGGCCAACCGCATGGCCTGGCCAGAGGGGGGCACCAGCGGCCCCTGGGGAGCCAACGCGGCCGCGGAAGTCTCGCCAAGGCCCCTTCCCCCAGGCGGGAGGGAAAGGCAGTCGCTAAAAAGAACCTGGTCTTTGTGTTTCGCGCGCATCGTTCTTGCCCCACTCCACCCCTCGCCACCAGCAACCCGCGCGGGTCTGCACGAAATGGCTGGAACAATGTTCCGGTGGCTACTAATAGAATGCTTAATCGGGTCCCCATATGAACGATTTGCCAGGGAGTCGCTACTCCTGGCGAAAGTAAGATTCATTGGTGTTGGTATGACATGGGTCTCGAAGTTCATGATGGATCCGATAAACAGTGATATGGATACACAGGAAGAAAGGAGCAAGATATGCAAGAGGACGGTATGTATATGTATATGTCTATATATACACCAAAAAATCCACCTCTTCCTCTTTCACTCGCGCCGAGGCGGCGCGCAGTCCTGCGTTGATCCTTATTCGATAGCCGCGGGGCGGCGGCGTCGGCAGCGGGCGGCAGTGCGGAGCGAACGGGGAGACGGCATTAACTACTCCCCCCGCGGCCGGCCGCATAGACCCAAGCCGCCGACCCAGCCCAGAAACTTCCGTGTTTCCTGGCACCCTCGAAAGCGCATTGGCCCCCCCTGGCGCGCGCCCCCAACAACGCTTTGGGCGCGCGGGGGAAACTTGCTGAAACAACCGCTGGAATCCGCAAGGGTTAGGTCGAAGCGGGCCGACGTACACCACAAATAAATTACTCATGCTCTGTAGCGAGGAGTTGAAGTTCAGGCGCAGGAACTTTGTCCCGTTCTTCTCCTGCTTGTAGCGTCTAGGAAGCTAAGCCTCCAGCAGCATCAGATATTCACTTCGTACGTTGTAAGATGTGTCTCACTTTCTGTTGTTGTAATCCATTTTGCGACCAACGTTTCTTCTGATACCACTCCCATGTCTCATCGCGCTTGTCATCCTTACGATCCCACCGCTGGCCCTGCCCACAGTGGTAATTGTCTTTTGTCGAATGACCGCTGGATGCGCCACGCTCCATCCACATCTAGTGACCATGTACTCGAATTCGCCACGGCGCCGTACTTGTCCATAACGGCGGCGGCTCCAACTCGGCAGTCCTCCGCTCTGCGTTCGGGCTCCGGCTCCTTGGTCTCGCCCTTCGGTCCTGCATGGGTTGTCAGGGCGTCCACCTGCAGCAGCCGCCGCAGCAACCGCCAGGGGGCGCCCATCAGGGCCAGCAGCCATCGCAGGCGTCCGCGAAGGAGGCGCAGAAAGAGGAGGCAAGGGATGCGGAGCAGCACTCTTAGGATTGGCGGGTGCGGCAGCAGCAGCTGCGACGCTGCTCTCGGTCCACTTGGAATCGTGATCCCGAGCACAAGCGGGATCCTTTGATCGGGTATCTGGCTCGACAGGGTCCGTCATGGGACTCGGAACGATGGCCTGATTGGGCGAATCCACTACTTTGGCAGCCGTACCTGTGCTTTGCAGTTGGCGACCAGTGGGTACCCCGATACCAACTCAACCAACATCGGGGATGTCACTATCGCGGAATAAACGCAAAATACAGCCAACGACTGTGACGTTCTGTCGATCAGCTGAATCAGCGTGCTCGTGCATTCATGCTGTCATGGGTCTTTCCATGTGGCTCGATTGTGAAAGTCTGCCATAGCTTTCTGGGTAGGCCACGGGTCCACGCGCATCTTAGTCTTGAGGCTACGCCCGAATTCTGCAAGTATTATTCAAGGAGATCGGAACTCCTAGCAGCGGTCCTTATCTTCAGGTCGAGTTCATAGAAGTCTCCAATCATCTGATCAAAGCAATGGTCAACCCTACTTCCTGTGCAACTCTCTCTCTTTTTCTCTCTCTCTCTCTCTCGATCTCTCTTTCTCTCTCTCTCTCTTTCAATGTTGTTGGTTTCTTCCGCTCTCTCTCTCTCTCTTTCTCTCTCTCTCTCTCTCTCTTCTTCCACAAGTCTTGTCCGTCAAGACCCAGCCGATTGTCAGTCGGACATGCGTATTGCATGTCGTCCCTGAATAACATATTCCTGTAATGATCACGAATTTTGTTCATCACCCGAATTGGCCTGTAATCAAGCAAATCTGGCGCGAGCTGCATACACCAGAAATTTCGCAACAGTGTGTCGATTCTGGCCAACGTGTATCTATCGTCGACATAACGATTTGGACCTGGGTCAATAGCAATAGTCATATAATCCTTCATGAGTTTGCAAGCAGCAGTCATAATTTTCCGTCCGGAGTCAAAACTGACATGGCCGCGTGTTGATCCTGCTCCAGGCGGTCGCCGTCCTTGACATGCGTTTCAACGCCTGGGCGCTCCGGGAATGGGCGATTCTTCAAATGCACGAAGAAGCAAACAACCAATTCTGAAGACATCTTTGTCTTGGCAATATCAAACTCCAATTATTCATTGGAAATGCCTCCGGTGCTTGGCAATTTTGCCACAAACGAAGAAAATGGGCCGAACTTGGATCTATTGGAGCACATATCTTCGACCGTCTGGTCGATAATCAGGAAATTGGGGCGGCTCGGGCCGAGTTCCAACAACCGGTGTTGCCTCTCCCTTTCGTAATTTCCCGAAAGAAACACAACACATATTTGGTGAGACCTTACGTTCAGCGCTAGGTGTTCCAGGAGGAAACGAGGATTGGGATCAACGCGCGTATCCTTGTATATTTGATGCGCACTTGTGTACGAAGTAAGTAGCCGTTGGGTGGTCCGCTCCGTCCGCAGTGAGCACATTCCCCCATGCTTGATCCACCGTCAGGCTCGATCACGCTTCCGTCCGCATGTGGCCAAATGAGCGCACACTGTGGCGGGCATGTCATGGGCACCTCAGAAGAGGTCACATGTCATCAAAGTATGGGCCACCATTGACACACCTTGGTGTTACCATACCTCCAAGAATTCTAAGACATGAGCCTTTCTCAAAAATGGATCCAGGAAACGGGAATACGACTCAGGTCTATAGGTCGGTACGCTACGACATAATTCAACCACCCAAGGGGGGAGCAAGCACATCTCTTTCACCATTCCTGTCATACCCGCCAGCGATGTCTCCTTTTTGGGTGTTCCCTGCACCATTGCTTCTTATGCTTCACAAACATGTTGAAACTGCCGTGCACAGGCTTCGAATAATGAATTTGTCCGGGACGTTGGAACGACTGCCCTCGATTCAGGTAGCTGCGGTCGCATCCATCCTATAGGCATCATGTGCCCAAACGGAGCATCCATTCCTTATATGTTTGGCTTGTCCTGATTGTCTCGAATGGTTTGATACCGTTCTGCGCGCGCATCACAATGTGGGCACCCCCCCATGCTGGATCGGGAACTGTGTGGCTTCTTACACAAGAGTATATCTATATACATACTGACGTACATATATATTCCCTGATCGCCCCATGGGACCTCGAATGGAGACCCATTGATGTCGGCGACAGTCGTCTCATCTGCTTGTATGCATGCGAAGACGACATTACCATCGAATTGAATTGTTTCCTGTTGCTAACACAGATCGTGCATTTCTAGTAGTAGTCATGCCAACACTGGGTCATGGACAACCGGGTCATGGACAACAGGGTAGTTTCGTCGTCGCCCGCACGATTGCAAAGAACGATCTTTTCTGCGCCGGCCCATACAAGAGATCCACCTGTTTCCTTCGGAAATGCGTGCGGTTTCCTCGGGGATCCTGAAACTTCGTTGCGCAATCAATGGGAACCCTTTGTACATCCATCGGTTTCGTTTCTGGAATTTCACGGGAGTCCTTCGGACATGCACAGGATGCCCGAAGAAATAAACTCATTCGTATGGCATCCATAAGATTCGTGACGACATCCACCGGACTCCTTCGGGAAACCATAGACATCCGTAGGATATCTATGCGGTGCCTGAGGACACCCGTCGGCCTCCTGAGGAAATCCATGGGATCCCTTAGGACACCCATGCAATTTTGTTGGACATCCGTAGAAATCCTGAAGACATCCGCAAGATTCCTTTGGCGATCACTCGGGCTTCGTAGGACATGCGTAGGATTCCTTTAGAAACGCCCGGGTCCCGAAAGAAATCCACATAACAATGTCCAATTAATAAAAAGGATACATTTGAAAACGTAGAAAACACATGTTCAAATACAAGCGGTCACCATTAAGGGTTCACTTTAGTTTGTGAACGAACATGGTAATTTTCCACTTGCGGGCAATGCACAATTCGCAACGCGCGCGCCCGCGCGCGCGCGCGATCGGGTGACCCACGCGCGGGCGGGTCACCCGAGATCCCGTTAGTCACCGTTAATGGTCACTTTAGTTTCCAAATCAATATGGCGACTATTCCATTGTGTCAATATAAAACTCGCTACGCGCGCGTCCTCGCGCGCGTGCGTGGCGATATCAGCATTCCCACAATGGAACAATCGCGATGTTGGCTTGGGAACTACATGTGATCCTTCGTGGTAGCCGATTGGATTTTGAATTGAACATGCTTGATTCGGATATTCTCAAACATTGAAAAGCAAACATGTTGGCCTGGAAACTAAAGCGAACCCTTAGCGGTGACCGGCTGGATTTTGAAGTTACCATGTGTTTTTCTTTGTTTTCAAAAAATCATCAGAATCCTGAACGATTTGTCATGTGGATGTCCTAAGGATTCCTGTGCATCTCAAAGCGAATCATATGGATGTCTACAGAATCTGGTAGATTTGCGGAGGAACCGCATGGATGACCTCAGGAATCCTGCGAATTGACGTGGGATTCCTGAAGGTTTCCTAAAAAGGAGATCCTGTGGGTTTCCTGGGGAATCCTATGGCTGTCCTACGGCTTCTTGTAGCTGTTCAAAGGAATCGGGAGGATTATCTCAGGTATCCTATGGATGTCCCAAGGAATCCGATGGCTGTCCGAAGGATTCCAATGGATTTCTGTAGGATTCCCATAGATTTCCAAAGGAATGCGCTGGATGTCCTAAAGACCCCTCTGGATTTCCCAAGGAATCCGATGGATTTCCCAAGGACTCCGATGGATGTCACAAGCAAGCCCATGGATTTCCTCAGGAATCCGATGAATTCCCTAAGGAATCCTCTGGGTTCCTCAAGGAAACCTATCGATTTCCGAGAAAATAAACCCGATGGATGTCCGAAGGATTCCTATACATGTCCCAAGGAATCATATGTTTTCCCTCAGGGATCCGATGGATTTCCTGACCTGCGGAAGCCGATGGATGTCCGAAGGAATCCTTTGGAAATGCTCAGGGATCTTATGTTTCAAATGGAATCCTATGGATTCCCCATGGAATTCTATGGGTGTCCTTGAAAATCTGACGGGTTTCCACAGAATTCCAGTGGAATTCCCAAGGAATCCTGCGCATTTCCTCCAGAATCCTTTGGATGTCCTAAGAAGGATCCGGTGAATGTCCTATGGCATCTTATGGATGTCCTAAAGATCCCGATGGACCTCTAAAGAATCCTGTGCATTTCCTAAGGACGCCAATGGATTTCCTTACGAAATCCATCGGATCCCCTTGGACATTCACTGGGTCCATTAGGATATTCAATGGAATCGTTAGGACATCCATCGGATCCCTTCGGCAGCCCAAAAAATCCCAAAGGAAATTCACAGGATTCCTTGAGGATGTCCATCGGATTTCTTAAGACATCCATAAGATTTCTCAAACCCTAGGATTCGGAAGGAAATGCGTAAGATTCTGAAGCAATTCCAGAGAAACCCTTCGGATGCCTATAGGATTCCTTAGGACATCCATAAGATTCCTTCGGAAATCCATCGGGTGCCTTAGGACACCCATTGGGCTCCCTAACGCAATCGACGGGATTCCTTTGGGAATCCATATGATGCGTTAGGGAATGCATGGGAATCCTTGGGACATCCATTGGATTCTTCCTGAAATTCATAAGAATCGTTAGGACATCCACAGGTTTCCTTCGGAAACCTATGGGTTCCTCAGGACATCTATCGGATCCTTCGGAAATCTATAGGAATCCTTAGGACATCCCAAGAATTTTATCGGATATCGATAGGAGCCCTAAGGAAATCCATAAGATACCTTTGGACATCCATCGGATTCCTTTGGAAATCCATGGGGTTCCTTTGGAATTCCATCGGATTCCGTCGAAGATCACCAGGGATCCTTAGGACATCCATCGGTTTCCGTAGAATATTGTTACTCAACATATTAAGAGAGCAACTCCGATTCGCGACTTTCCCCCGCGATAATCAAAATCGGCCTTGCCGCCCGACTTCCCCGACTAAGTCTGCACTGGCCGGGGATGCACAAAAAAACAAAAAACATATCAGGGGCGCCGGGCTATGTCCGCTGCAAGTGGACCCGAGGCATGTGCCCATTCCACTTGGCGTTTAATGTGATCAAAGATTTGCTGAATGCCGTCACCCCTGAAACTCTCTCCCTCCGCTAAGTCCATCTCGCGCACCTCTTTTCCTTCTGGTATAAATTATGCTGTATGGGGGTAATTGGCGGTGCCCTTGTCACTCGCCCAAGACGGGCGCATCCCCTGAAAAGGCGGCGGGCAGGAACGGAGGCAGAAGTGCCCGACAACTTCCATTGCGGACGACAGGTCTGTGCGGTCCTCTTCGTCGTGCATTGCCACATCAGGGTCCTGGAATTTGGAAGCAGGTGCAGCTGTCACTGGGGCACTGACTGCAAGTTGCGCACCACCAGCTGAGCCGGCGGCAACACTTCCCGAGTCGATGTCCATAGCGGCAGCCGTACCTCCCACATCTAAAGCCCTCATATCATCGTCAGGGGCGTCAGTGTTAGCATATGGGGTCGAACTCGGCCCCATCCGTAAAGAGTTCAATGCCACCGTTCAGTCTACCTTCAAACTTCAAGTATTCCTTGCGTGGAACATTTTCTTTCATGTAAGGCACAGCTTCAAAGTAGATCCTATCCTAAACCTTCTTTGCGAACCTCTGATTCAGCAAGTTGGTCGAACCCATAAAGACGTCAACCGTTTCCTTCTCGTCATCCGCCCTGCGGAGCAACAGATCTACTATAGTTGGGATTGCAATCTCCGTTATGTCAGCTTCGTCTAGAGCGAGGGTGTCTCGAGCGAGAGCCTCGGTTTTAAGATTTCGACGAATTCGCAAGATCCCCGGAGATCTCTTTTGTCTGGATGCCTCGAGCTGGAGCCTCATGCATAACACACAGCATCTTAAGCCACGCCCTTGAAGATCTCACTTGTTCGAGGATGTCTCGAGCGAAACTGCCGTTTTGGGGGGAACATGTCCGGACAAGAACGGGCAGCGCCGCTTCTCTGCGCGTGCGCGCGCACGCGCGCATGGATTTGCAACCAACGCGCATGCGTGCACATGGATGCAGTCGCTGGGCTCCCCTAAGTGCCCAGATGGTCGGCGTCGGTAGCTCGTGCTTAGTGGTTGCCTGCGGTTGCTTTGGTCAGGTGTTGCGCGTGGCATATGATTGTGTGTGTGTGCGTATGTGCATGTGCATGTCTGTACGTGTGAGTGCCTTTGTGTGCCTGTGTGTGAAGCTGCGTGCGTGTGTGTGCGCCTGTGCGCGGGCGTGTACAGGGTGCGTGCCAGGGGGGCGGGGAATGTTCGCACGTCGGTGGCATCCGATGTGGACGCATGCGTGACAACCCAAAGGTATGCACGCGGGTAGCCACCCTTATGTGGACACGTGGATGCCCGCCCAAATGTTACGGTGTCCACCCATGTTTCTACATGTTGGGTTGCCGTACCTTGCAGAGCCATTGCAGGGTCTGCAGGGTCGTTTGCAAGGAGTTGCCAGGCATTGCAAGGTCTTAGCAGACATCTTCGCAGGGTCTTTTGCGCGCGGTCTCGGGAGGGTTTCTGCAGGGGCTTCGGCATGGTGTTGCAATGGTCTTTGCAAGGAGCGGAGGGGGGAAGGCATTGCAGGGCGTCCAGGGGAGAGGTAGGAAGGGGGATATGAGAAGCTGGAAGGACGAGCTTCCTAAACCACTTCAACCCTTCAAGGGCTGGTTGGCCTGCGCATGCTCGGTTCAAGTGGCCCTCGGGACCTCTCGGTGGCGGCTGGTCTTCGGCGAGGCCCTGTTTCGGGACACCTTGCCCCCACGTCAGCGCTGCGTATAAAATATACTGCTTGAGCTTGCTCGGGGCCACTCCTCCTCCTCCTCCTCCTCCTCCTCATCCTCCTCTTCCTTCTCATCCTCCTCCTCCTCCTCGCTCCTCGCTCCTCGCTTCTCCTCCTCCTCCTCCTCCTCCTCCTCCTCCTCCTCCTCTCCCCCCTCCTCCTTTTCCTCCTCCTCCTCCTGCTCTTCCTCCTCTTCCTCCTTCTCCTTGTCTTCGTTTGTTCAATGATGTCTCGAGCGAGAGCCGCATGTTGAACAGAAGTCGCCTTGAAGTAGGTCGTCTACCATCCCATTTGTTCGAGGACATCTCGAGCGAGATCCTCATTTTTCAGATTTTAACGAGTTCGCAAGATCCTTTGAGATCTCAGTTTGCTGAGGATGTTTCGCCCCCCAAAAGGGGCCTCGAAACTGCCTCCAACCAGCCCCCGAGAGAGCTCCCACGATATCCCAGCGATCATCAACATCATCCTCCTCATCATCATCCTCAGCATAAGCATCATCAGCAGCATCATCATCATCACCATCACCATCACCATCACCATCATCATCATCATCATCATCATCATCATCGTCATCATCATCATCATCATCAGCATCAGCATAAGCATCATCAGCATCATCATCGTCAGCATCATCCTCACCACCATCATCACCATCATCACCACCACCATCGTGATCATCATCATCATCGTCACCTTCATCATCAGCATCGTCATCATCCTCATCGTCATCATCGCATCGTCGTCGTCGTCGCCATTAGCCTTATCATCAGCATCAGCAGTAGCAACATCAGCATCATCATCATCACCCCAAGCATCAGCATCAACAGCATCATCGTCATCCTCATCGAACTCCTCTTCATCATCAGCATCACCATCGTCATCGCCATCGACATCGTCATCATGATCATGATCATCGTCATCATCATCATCATCATCATCATCCTCATCGTCATCATCATCATCATCATCATCATCATCATCATGTTCATCATCGTCATCCCCGTCGTCGTCATCAACATCAGCACCATATCATCATTGTTATCATGATATTCACCCCTCGCAAGGACAGCCTCTGGTGCGTTGGCGACGTTTTGGCGGGACTTGCCGCAGGCAGCTGCATATAACTGATCTCAATGTCACATGGACATCGCAGGGACTGAGACGTCATCCGCCAGAACACATCGAAATGCCTCTGAGAAGGTGGCAAACCACCGAACGCATGATAACGCCATGAAACTAAATGTACCGTACGCTTCAGGAGGTCTAAGCGGTCTCAACCGAGTTTCCCTCATTTTGCGCGAGTTTCCCTCATTTTTCTCCACGCCACGTGATGACGAGTTTCCCCCATTCTGCACCTCTCGTCTCGCCATCCTCCGATTCCCCTGCTCGCTCTGAGCACTAGAACGCAAGTTACATGTACTGTTCAGGGAAATGTCAGTGTGTTCAAAGAACGATCGACACTGAATAAAATCACGACAAAAATGACAAATCTCTTGCAAAGTAAATCCGGTGCCAGTGCGGGAAAACCTGTCCATTGCATGTGAAGAATGAGGAGGGGATGCGACACACGAATATCATCGCAGCGCGGCTACCATCAACATAACATGGCATTGGAGGCTCAAGGATTAAGAATGCCACACGAAGCAACTTGGCATACCCAGAGGCCAACACAGCAAACAAGACCCTACACGAGAAACGAGGATAGCGATCATCAAGCGGCCCATTACACATAAACGTACGTTTGCATACCAATCAACTCCCACGTTTCCTCTGCACATCGCCAAAGAATAGCACCCGCACGCACACAGACGACGACCAGGAGTACGCGTGCAGTGACGATCGGTGAAGGACAGCACCCTGGGGACTGGTATGACGACAGGCAGACAGAGGACGGCAACAGCAGAGGGGGTAATGTTTCTGTGAACTACACTGCCATCTATTTGACCGCGGCCAGACTGGCGATAGACCGGCATGTGCCGCGCAGGCCCCGCGCGCAAACTGTGCCGCGACATCCTTGAGGCCAACAGCCAAACCCTGGCGAACGACAGAGGACGCAGCCAAGGTGGCTCATGCGCCGCGGAGCGCCACGCGCTTCGTCTGAAGGAGGGAGTAGTCCGCACCGCTCAGCACGGCCTTCGCTTTGTCCAGGGACTCAATCTCCTCGGTTCGCGCCGCCTTGCGCACGTCGAAGTACTTGATCAGCCAATCGCACTCGGCGTGCAGGTTGCCGATGACCTGCGTCGTCTCCATCAGCTGAACGGACAAATCCTTCTTGTTCGCTTCCTCGTTCTGCAGGGACTCCTCGCCGTGGGCCTTGGCCATCGTCTTCTCAGTGAGCGCCTTGGAGTCTGCCGCGCGCTTGGCGCCCGCATCTGCCATCAAGACTTCGTAGTCCGCCTGGGCGTCCTTCTCCTCGGTCTCCGCCTCGGTCGTAGTCATGTCGATATCGTTGATGATCTTGTCGAGCATGCTCACCACGACCCCGGTCTCCTGACCCTTCTTCGAGTAGGCGTCAAACGTCGCGGGCGGCGGGGGCGGCGCGACACCGTCCACGCTCCTGTGCGCACGGATCTGCACAAACGCGGCGGCGCTCTCCGCCTTGTACAGCTTGGGGTTATCCGCGGCCGCGTCCTCGGCGCGTTGGGGCGCGTCACCATGCCTGGGAACTGCCCGGCAGGGCTCCTGCTGTTCTCCAAGGGCGAACCCCTGTCGCCACGGGGGGGGTCGAGCTCGACCCCTTGCAGTTCTGCTATCCAGCATTCTGTTCGTTCTCGAGGCGGGCCCCAGGACTGCCCAGCATCGTCCCGAGACGAGTCCACCACCTCCAAGACCGGCCCAAAACAGCCCAAAACAGCCCGAGAGACCCCGAGGAGGCCCGTGAGACCCCGAGGAGGCCCCAGAAACGCCCATGCATGTACCTAGCACACACACACTCACACTTTTTTCGTCAGCGGCGAGGCGGCGAACTCCGCCCCGGCGAGAAGCTTGAGAGGGGCGCTGACTAGAGAGTCGGCCGGCGGGCACAGAAGGGGGGCGGGGACGGCCGACAGGAAGAAGGGACGCTCAGACGCCTAAGAGCTCGACGAGGAGCAGCTGGGGGGGCAGCAGCAGCCAGGCGCGCAGGGGCCAGAGCGCGGTGGGTGGCCGTGGCGACACACGGTGGCAAGGGTGTCGGGGATGGACAGACCCCCCTTTAGTAAAACGTGGTTTAGTGACAACGACCTGAGGCCCAAACCTGGCGGGCGCAAACCGGTGGCAAGGGTGGTGGGGGGGCGGCTGCCGGCAGCTGGAGCTGGCGGGCGGGCGCAGTGGGACACCACGAGCGGCAGAGGCAGGGCGGCACGCCGAGAAGGTAGGCACGGCACCGAGCCGTGCACACGCTCACGCCCGCACTCACACACACTCACACTTTTGCTGTCAGCGTCGCGGCCACTCGCGCGGCGACCCAGGCAGGAGCGCGCGGGCCAGGCCAGCGCACGCAGCAGGGACAAGCTGGATCCACTCGGATCAGATCGACAGCAGCACTCGCGAGGGGGCAGTCGCGAGGGGAGAGAGGAGTGGGGGAGTGGGAGAAGAGGGGGACGGGACAACAAATGGGGACAGGCACAAGGAGTGCGACGGTGGCGAGCCGAGGCATCGAGCGAGGCGCAGAGGAGGGCGGCAACGGCAGCCGACCGGGAGGAAGAAACGAGGCAGTGTGCGAGGAAGCCTCGGCCAGTCAGGGGGACACGCGGGGGGGAAACAGCAAAAGAGGCAGGGGGCACCCAGGCGAGGAGGGGCAAAGCGGCAGCGGCGCTGGGGCAGGGAGGGAAGGGTGGGGGGGGTGCAGACCGATCCCCCGAGAAGGAGGGCTCGGTCCTCGGCCGTCTCCCAGGGAACGGGGGGGACAGCAGGGCGCGGGCGGGGGACCGCCGGCTTGACGGACGCTCAAGGCTGGGGGGCGGCTGGGACGGCGGGGATCTGGAAATTAGAAGTAGTGCCAGGGCCATTCCTGTGAGGGTCAGGGAACTCCTGAAGAACATCGAAGGGTCAAAAGTCGGGGTCCATGTGGGTGGCGCCGCGCCTATCACGTTCCGTACGCGGCCCTGGACCCAGGCACGCCACTCGGCGTGGGCCTCCACTCGGAACGGGACACCGTGGCAACGAGCGCAAGACACCCGCTGGACCAGGACTTGACCGGCTGCCTCGTCGCCAAGCGTGTCAGCCACATGGGAGGGCAAAGCAAGCAGGAGGGACCCGCCGTGTCGTTGACGAAAAGGCTCGACTGCACTGTCAGAGGCCTCCGTAATGGCATCCAAGTAGATCGGGTTGGAGGATCGCGCCGCATCGCTGATGAACCGCATTTGCATCAGCGATACATCGGCCAAGTCGGCAATGCATCGGCAACGTCGAAGAAGAAAACCTCCAGTTCCAAACCGAGCCGCATCGGATCGATATGGATATATGTACATATATATCTATACACATACATATGTGTATAGCTATACTGCTAGAAGCATCGCGCTTCGCGCGCGCTCAGGTTCTAGCCCAGGCTGGGGGGGGCGCTAGATGATCTTGGACAGCGCTATCAAGCACAGGCGCGTGACATAGTCGTGCCTCCTGAGGGCCTCTTGGGAACCTCTTGGGTCTTCGTGGGGGCATCTGAAGGGCTTCTGGGGGGCCCTCCGTGCTTCCTCAATTGGCTGTTGGAGACACCTCTTGGGTGCTTCTTGGGGGGTCGTCTTGGGGCTTCTTGGGGCCCCTTGGGGGCATCGTCGGGGTTCTCCGGGCAGTCGGAAGGTGACGTTCTGCATTCTGAAGCCGTCATTGGCCGTCTTGGCTGCGTGGAGGCCCGACTTGAGGCCACCTGGGGCCACATTGAGGCAATCCGGACTCCCGGGGGCCTCCTGGATGCAGTTTTGATGCATCGAGGGCATTGTTCGGCTATCTTGGGGCCTCTTGGGAGGCTTTTTGGGGCCTCGTCGGACCACTTGGCGACTCTTGGGGCCTCCTGTGGGCCTCTTAAGGCGGAAGGCTCTGCTGTTGGGTTCGCGTTCCCTTCTTGGAGGCCCTTCCGGTGGGCCCGCTCAGGGAGGGGAGCTACTGTAAACCCAGAGGGCGCGATGGGAGCATGGCCCTGGGTCCTGAGGTGGGAGGGCGCGGAAAAGGGGAGCGCGTGCTGTACAAACACACACACACACACACACATGCACACACACACACACATGCACATGCACACAGACACACAGACACACACACACACACATACACACACGCGCGCGCGAACATTATTCTGAATTCGTTGACGCCTGCGTTTCTCAGGAAGTCCCAAGATGGCCACGAAGGGTCCCAAAAGGCTGGAAAGACGGCCCGAGACGGTCCTCAGACGGCCCAAGACCGCACCAAGGGGGCTCAAAGACGGCCCCCAGCCTCGACCAGCCAGACCCAACGTTCTCCTGTCGAACCTAGCCCAGAAAGGTTTGGCAAAACCGTCGCGCCCACAATGGCCTCAAGATTATCAACAAACCTCCAGTGGCTCGTCCAGAAGCCCCCAAAGAGGCGCCTGAGGTACCAAAGAGGCTCCCAAGCAGCCCTGAAGGAGCCCCCAAGAGCTTCTGAAAGGCCTCCAAGAGCCAACGCACGAACCATCAAACGATACGGCTGACCAACACTGCAAATCGCACACATGCTTCCCAAACGGGTCCGACGGCACCGATATGGTTCAGTTGAACCTCTTCGGAGAAAATCGGTCGAAACATCCATCCTGCATGGATGTAAAAACGCTGCGCTTGCACTGCGGCGGATCTGCCGCAGGCACCTGGATAGAACTTGTTCAACCTGTTCTTGGCCCACAGCAGGATCTCCTTGGAGGCCTTGTTGTTCTGCATGAGCTCCTTGAATTCGGCGTTCTCCTCCTGACGAAGCTTGGTGGCCTCCGCGACCGACTTGTCCAGCGCGCCGATGGCGGCCTTCAGGTCGGCGATCTCCTGGGTCCAGGTGGCGATCGCCGCCTTGAGGTCCTCGATGGCCGTGCTGGACACCTCGATGCCCCGCTCGAGCTCCTTCTTCTGGTCCTCGGACTTGTCCAGCTCCGTCTCGCAATACAGCTTCTTGTTGTCGTCGTCAGCCTGCTCCTTCTTGAGATTCACCATCATCTCATCGATGAGTGTGATGACCTTCTCGAAGCCGGCCGTCTTGCCCTGCATGGCCAGCAGCACGAGGTCGATCTCCGGGCCGCGGCTGGGCGCAGAGCGCAGCAGCTGAAGCGCACGGGCACGCAGCGTGGCGACCCGCTGCTGGACCTGCACGAAGCTGGACGAGGCGGAGGGCAGCGTCTTCTTGAACAGCTCCTTGGGGGAGAGCCAAGCTGTGTCCCCAACCCGTAGGCGTGTGAGGACACCACGCAACTCGAAGAGCTGCGGCGACCGCTGTTAAGGAGCGGTCCTCGCTCTCGGCCCCACACGTAACGTCAGGGCATAGCATCACATGCAAATACGTCACATGGTGAACCCGGCCCGTCATTGCAGTGAACAGCACAACAAACACACACCGCAAAATTGCCCAACACACACATACATGTAACACAATATATATGTGTGTGTATATATAACCACCGGGATATTGCCCAACACACACACATACACGTAACACAACAATACATCTTAAACAGCTCCTGGGGGAAATAACCAAACGTGCCCCCAGGGCGACCCGAGGACACCGCGCACCTCGAAAAGAGCTGCCGCGACCACTGATGTGCGGTCCCACATGGCCGGTGATTGACACAGGCGCGCCCGAAGGGCGCCTTGCATACAGTCAACCAGTATAGTAAGGATGCGCGATAAAAATGCAAGGGCCTTGGACGCCCATTTTGAAGCTTTTCGAGCGGGGCGCGACCAGCGAAAGCGGTGAATGATGGATCGAGGAGGCAAGGATGCAAGGGTACCCTTGGGAATCTTGCCCATCCTTACGATGTGGGTTGACTGTAACAATCGACTGTCCAATGAGGTAAAGGCTGAGTGTATTTTTCAAGATATATGTTGGTAAAAGGCTGGGTGTAATTTTCAAGCTGCATTATTGCTGAACACATGTGCTACCTAATGCAGCGACTGGTCAAATCCCACCAGCCCTTTGGGCGTGAGTGGTTTAGAGAGCCCGCTCTGTCCTCAACCCCCCTTCTTCCCCTTCGGGGAGGGGTTTACCCCTCCCCCTACCCCCTCCCCCTGGATCTGGAGAGGGCGGGCCGAGTGGTGTCAAGGTGGCCTTTTTCGACTCCTGGGAAGGCCAAAAAACGACGACCCTCACAAGGATTCTGGCCCCGAGGGGGGGGAGAGTTTGGCCCCCTTCCTCTTCGGTGAAGCCAAAAATATTGATTTTACTAAGGTTTTGGCCCCATTTTGGACTTCTGAGGGGGCAGCGCTCATCGTCCTTCATAGCAAAACCATTGATTGTACAAAGGTTTTGGCCTCATTTTGTCCTTCTCAGGGGGCAGCTCTACTTTGCGCTTCTGAGGAGGTCGCAAGAGGCCCCAAGATGGCCCCAAGAGGTTCCCAGGAGGCTCCCAAGAGGCCTCCAAGAGGCCCCCAAGAGGCCCCCAAGAGGCCCCAAGAGGCCCCCAAGAGGCCCCCGAGAGGCCCCCAAGAGGCCCCAAGAGGCCCCAAGGGGCCCCCAAGAGGCCCCCAAGAGGCCCCCAAGAGGCCCCCAAGAGGCCCCAAGAGGCTCCAAGAGGTCCCCAAGAGGCCCCACGAGGAGCCCGAACGACTCACACCAGGACGAGGGGCCCGAACGACTCACACCACGAAGAGCCCGAACGACTCACACCACAAGGAGGGGCCCGAGCGACTCACACCAGGAGGAGGCGCCCGAACGACTCACACCACGAGGAGCCCGAACGACTCACACCACGACGCGGGCCCCGAACGACTCACTCCACGAGGAGAACCACACGGGCTGGGCCCGAACGACTCACACCAGGAGAGGCGCCCGAACGACTCATACCACGAGGAGCCCGAACGACTCACACCACGACGGCCCCGAACGACTCACACCACGAGGAGCCCGAACGAGTCACACCACAGGGCCCGAACGACTCACACCAGGACGAGGCGCCCGAACGACTCACACCACGAGGAGCCCGAACGACTCACACCACGACGCGGGCCCCGAACGACTCACACCACGAGGAGCCCGAACGAGTCACACCAGGAGGAGGGGCCCGAACGACTCACACCAGGATGAGGGGCCCGAACAACTCACACCACGAGAAGCCCGAACGACTCACACCAGGACGAAGAGCCCGAACGACTCACACCACGAAGAGCCCGAACGACTCACACCAGGAAGAAGGGCCCGAACGACTCACACCAGGACGAGAAACCCCAAACGACTCAAATCACGAGGAGCGCTTTCTCTCCCTCCTCCTCCGCCTCGTCCTTCTCCCGCTCCCCCCACAAGGAGGATGTACAAGGAGGCGGGAGGAAGGAGGAACAGGGGAGATATGCGGGCCCAAGCGGACACACGCCTGAAAAACACGACTGTCGGCATGCTTCGCAAGAGTTGCTGCTGTGAGATGGGCTGGTGGGGATACGCGAAGCGTAAAGAATTCTCATCCTTTTTCGTGGCCCAACCAACTAATGGGCCCGTGCCACGTCACGAGCCTCCTCAGCATCAACCGCCTCGCACCGCGCCGACAGCCCGGGCCTACACCAGCATGAATCCCCAGCCCGGGTATGCACCCGCACGCGCCCGCACTGCCGAACCACAGCTGCGTGGAGCACGCGATCGCACTGCCAGATGGCGACGCAGAACTCTGGTGCAACACTCGCAGATAGCGACACCGAACAGCAGCCCGCGCGCACCGGCCGCTGACGTGCTCTGGCTGGCAAGGGAAGCGAATCGAATAGCAGTGCGTCCACGCGTGTCGCGAGGCAGACACGAGCCGCCGAGCAACAGCCGAGCACCGCCAGCAGCATGCCGCCCTGCGCGAAGACAGCTCGGCGAGAGCCGCCCGACTCGGGCCGCCGTGCGGAGAAGCACCCGCTGTGGCAAGCCAGCGCTGCCGCCATTTGCTCATCCGTCATGATGGCATTGGTGGCGCCCTGGCGAGAACGCCATTCTGGGGATCATCTAGGTCCCACTGGTGCCCGAGCAGTCCGTGGCACATGGCCACCGAGACACTCCTCGCCTCTGGGCCAGATGGTTTGAGGCTGCGGCCTCTGGGCACCGACTGCCGCATCACACAGTGGCCCACCCACGGGGGTCGTAACGAACTCCTGGGGGAAGACGCGGGCCCGTCGGCCCTCTGGGCGGCAGGGCGGCGGTGTCCAGAGGGCAGTGGTCCAGAATCCGTCCCCCTCGTGCGCCTTGACCACAAACCCGACCAGACCGTACCAGGCCAGATCCGACCACCCGATACGACAATAGATGATATACGCGCGCGCGCCAAGCGGACGTCATCCCTGACAAACAATGCAATGCAAGCCACGCCACCGCGCTGAATCCGCTGGCCCTTCGGCGTGTGTGACATGGTTTTCCGTTTGAGTCGTCGTCGTCGTCGCCGCCAGCCCCAAGACAGTTGAGAAACCAAGGAACTTTGCAGTTAAATGTGTTCACTTCCCGTTGTCCGTCCTCTGAGAGGGGGGAGGGGTGGAGGGGGATCCCCGGTCAGAATACCGCACCCCCCTCCCCAGGGTCCAGGCGCGTCCCGTGGGAGGGTCGCCAGCGGGGGTCCATGGGGAGGTCCCGCCTTCAGGGTCGGCGGCACCGGCCGCAAGGCATTCGTATTCACTAAAGAATGTTGCCCTCTTTGATGTCAGGCAGTAAACGGTTTCAAACCCTTGAACACAAGAAGGTCGAATAGACAGAAGAGGGCGGGAGTATGTTCGCCATCAGAAATTGTGTTGCCCCTCCCCCATGCCCCCTTCTCATGGTCCAGAATTCGGCGGGTATCTGGATGTCAAGGCCTCCGGTTCGCCTCAAGGCTTAAATCGCCGATGTGCAAAATCCATGGTCCACCACACTGTTGTGGGCTCGTTTTCGGCCTCCGGGCGACCTCCAAATTGCAAAATGTGTCCGCCGCAACCGCCATTTGCTCCCAACAAAGCACAGCGCCAAGAAAGATTGTCCCACGTCCAGACTGGGGGTCACGCTTTCTCCAGGTACCCCCGCGCAGACCTCCTCTTCCTCCCCTTCACGTGTTCCTGCAGCCTGGGTGGGGCCACTTCTATTCCAGGCACCCCCGCGCAAGAAGGAGCACCCATCCTAGCGGACAGGCTGGTGGGGGCAGGCTGGTGCGGACACTTTTGTTCGCGAGCGCGCAGGGATGCCAGGCGCCGTCAAGAAACGCGGCTAACAAGCAACGGCTAAAATTCCGCACAAGACGCTGCGGCTCAAGAGTTGCGGTGGACCAGGAGGGCTGGTGCGGACACGCGGAGCGATCAAAACTTGGAAAGCCCAGCGCAACCCGAAATCCCATCTGGCCAAGTGGAAGGGCGCTGGTTTTCGAACCAGCTATCCGCCGACCCCAGCTTGCCGGGGGTGAGAAGACGTGTGAGATGATTGGCTCTCGCCCTCCTGGTGAGCGTTGTTTTATTCGGCGAGACGACATTGGGCGGAGGGGGGGTGTCTGGCTCCAGACCTCTGCTTAGTGCGACTGTTTGCAGCACTGCGTCCTATGGGGGAGGGACTCCACCCGCTCGAAACAGGCGCCAAAGACAGCCAAGATCTATCCCATGGGGAGGGAGGGAGGGGGGCGGGGGTGCGAAGGCCCGCGCCGATCGGCAAAACCAGGAATAAGAAAACGACGACCTGGTTCCCCCTCCCCACGGGCCCGACATGCCGTTCGAGGTTCGAGGGATGCGTGCAGGGAGGAGGGGGGGGGGGGGGGGGGGGGCAAAAAACCAACGACCCTCCGGGGCTCCCCGAGCCTCCAAGTCCGCCCTCCAACGCAACGCCTGGCCAGGATGCCTACGATGCCCCATGAGAGAGCTCAAGAACAGCTTCTGCACGACCAGGGGACCCAAAGACGGCTCCAAGTGGCTGTGAACTCTCTCGAACCCTATCCTCGAGAGGCCCAACAGCCCTCAAGACGCCCGCGGTGTTCCAATGCTGCATGCCTTCTGGCAATCTTGCTTGCAGTGGACTCCTCCTGCCTCAAGATGGCTCCAAGGTCGCCAGTGAAAGTGCCAGAGAGAGCCCCGAGGGGAGGCGACAAAAATCGCTCCAAGACGGCCTCGATGGCCCCCTGGACAACCTGAGAGCGTCCCGAGTGAGCCTCGTTCTGTCCAGCGTCTGGACGTTGGGCGGAAGGGGGGGGGGGCGAGCGAGCGGCGGCCCCAGAAAGCGCCTCCCTCTCTCTCTCTCTCGCTCTCTCTGTCTCCCCCCCTCTCTTTGACCTCCCTCTCTCTTTCTCGCTCTCTCTATCCCCCCCTCTCTCTCTCTCTCTTTGATCCGCCACTGAGCATCGTCTAATCGATCCCCAAGCCTAGCGGCGTGCCCTGGGCCCCACTGGCCGATTTACCCCCCCCCCTGGATAAGAAGGGGGGGGGTCTGGCTCCAGACCTCTGCTTAGTGCGACTGTTTGCGACAGGGCGTCCTGTGGGGGAGACCCCACCTGCCTGAGAGCAGGCCCCAACACACAGCCAAGATCCACTCCATGGGGGGGGGTGCGGGGGCCCGCGCCGATTGGCAAAGCAACGAATAAAGAACGACCACCTTTTCGGATCGACGACCTCCAGGATGGCTCCAAGACGGCCCCCACGGGCTGAGACTTCCGAGATCATTCCAAAAAGCCCACAAGGGGCCCCCAGAGGCATCGAAGTTCAGCGTACAGTATGCGTACAGTCATCGACCTGACCTAATTAACGATAAATAAGAAACGAAGCCCTCTTCTTTCAAAGGAATAACGCACAAAGGGCGATAAATCATACATAACGTAGAAAGAACGATAAATAACGCATGCGAGCCTAAGGAACGACCGAGCCCCTTTTGATTTGAAAAGTACGTGTTCCTTATTCAAGCCGCTCACTGTATCTGCTCCCCTGCTCCCCACTGATCTACTGTGCGTCATTCCTGCATGAGCTGCTGGGCATGCCGGAAGCGGAATCCATGACGTTCGCCCATCCACCACTCGGGGCCCAGAGGACTGGCGGAAACCTCTTGAACAAATCCCCAATCGGGGAGAGGATCGGTGAGAGGGGCCGGAATTCGGGTGGTGAGCTCCAGCGCGTCGTCGGCGTTCAAAGCCTCAATGGTCTCCGACAGCGCCACCAGCTCATCGGCGCGCACCTTGCAGCGCGCCTCCCACTCGGCCTCCTTGGTGGCGCAGCCCTTCTTTAGCTCGGCCAGGTACTGGGTGTCCTCCTCCAGCGTGTCCTTGGTCTCCTCGAGGTCGTTGGCGTCGTCGCTGAGCATCACGTTCACCTCCCCGAGGCGCGTCATCTCCTCCTCGATCTGCGCGGTGAGCGTGTTGACCTCCTTCGTCTTCGCCGCCATCATCTGATCGTAGGTGGCCTGCGCCTCGGCCTCCTCCTTCTGGGCGTCCGACAAAGTGGCGGCCATCTCATCGCTCATCTCCTTCAGGATGCCGACGATCTGGCCGCTCTTGGGGGCGTAGCCGCTGGAGCCAGAGAGGAAGGACAGCAGGGCCTGGCGATCAGAGTCTGACATAGTCGCCTTCTCCATGGCGTACTGGCGCAACATGTTCGCACCCGACGTCTGCAGGAAGGACCCCGACATACCATTCTCGATGGCCTTGACGGCAGCCGCGATGGCGCTGATGTTGACGTCGCTGTCCGATTTGAACTTGAGGGCTGCCTTGCGCTCGGTGTCTCTCAGCGCGGTGGCCTTGCTCATCGTTTCCTTCGCCTCGGCGCGGCTGGCGGTGTGCTCCTTCAGAGCGGCCTCGGTGGCCACCTTCTTCTCGGACAGCTCCTTGATGGAACTGTCCAGGGCATCGATCTTGGCCTGGGAGGCCGCGATGCTCTGGTCCAGGGTGGATACGCCCGTCTTACAGTAGCACATGAATCCAACCAGCTCTCTGAGCGCAGGAGGTATAAGGAGTTTCCTCTTTCCTCTTCCTGAGCCCCTTCTTCACCTGGATTACGCTGTCCCTCCCCCCACCCCCTCCCATTCGTACGTATGGACCGGGGGTGGCTGGCTGGCTGGGAGGGCTGGAACGTCCACGATGGCTCAAGATAGCTCCAAGAGGGGCCCAGATGCCCCAACATGCCCTCCAAGAGGGCTCCAGATAGTGAAGGCTTGTTCATGGCAGCCTCGGGCAAACCTCCGAAAGGCCGCAAGACGGCCACGACACAGCCCCAAGTGCCCCCATATCGCTCCCAAAGGCCAACACGGCCCCAACACCCAAGGCCGTGAGGCCTGACGGTGGCCCCAGAGAGCCCCAGAGGAGCCCAAACGTGCCGAGATCACCCATCAGGACCCCCAAGAGGCCTCCGAGATCCCCCGAAGAGGCATGCGTTCTGCATCCCGTATGTTTCGAGCCAAAGGACCCAAGATCGCCCCACACACCCCCAAAACGAGCCCGAGAGAGCCCAAAGAGGGCCCCGAGGGAACCCCAAGAGGGCCCCAAGAAGGCCCCAAGCATACCCCAGGCCAGGATGTCCCCAAGAATCCACTCAAAGAAAATGCTACAATCGCGCGCGGTGCTCTACCCCCGCTCCCGACAAGATGGGCGAGGCAACGGAAGTTATTCTCCACGTGCCGCTTCACATCTCGCAGTCGCGAGTGCGAGGCGACCGCTTTCCCCAGCGCGCTCAATTGCCAGCCAGCGCGCGCCAGCCTGCGTACCGAATCGCAAAGCGGACGCACGCCCCGCAGCAATCACAGGGCGGGTGGGTGGGAAGAACTGAGCGCGAGCCTGCGCCAACATGGTTACGGCGCAAGCTGGACCACCCAGCCCATCCCACCAAACCGCACCCCACGATTGTTATTCCCACACCCCGCGCTCACAGTAACAATCGTGCAGCGTGTTCAGCCCGTTCGCGGCCAGTTTGCGGGGATGTCTCAAGCGGTTTGTTCGCTCTCATGCCCAACATCTTTGGTTTTCAGAACAGAGTCTGAGGATGTCTCAAATTTTTCACGGGCCCGTTCGTGGCCAGTTTGCGGGGATGTCTCAGGCGGTTGTCCTTTCTCATACCCAACATCCTTGCCTTTCAAAACAGATGTTGAGGATGTCTCAGGCGGGGCGCTGGTTTCAACACCCCTAAAGGGAGCCGCCAAGGGTGTTTTCACGGGCCCGTTCGCGGCCAGTTTGTGGGGATGTCTGAGGCGGTTTGCTTGTTGTCATACCCGGCATCGTTGGCTTTCAGAGCAGATTTTGAGGTTTTCTCCGGCGGGGCGCTGGTTTCAACACCCCGAAGGGGAGCCGCCAGGGGGTAGGACACGGGCCCGTTCGCGGCCAGCTTGTGGGGATGTCTAAGGCGGTTTGCTTGTTTTCATGCCCAACATCGTTGGGTTTCAGAGCAGATTCTGAGGATGTCTCAGGCGGGGCGCTGGTTTCAGCACTCCTAAGTGGAGCCGCCAGGGGTGTTTTCACAAGCCCGTTCGCGGCCAGTCTGAAGAGGGGGCTTGAATGGGAGGCTCATATCCAATCATACTCAAAGCTCACTCATACTCAACAACTCGCATTAAGATTCACTCGGCTTCGTCGGCCCTGTCGCCCACGTGGACGCGCCATTATAATCAAGCGCTCATGAACAGACGCTCGCTATGGCATGACCTAAAACATGATATGCACATATAGGGAGCTCCACACAGTGAACAATTCTTGGGAATCGACGATTAATTGCGCGTGCGCGCGTTTTCCCTTCCTGGCGCCTGGCGGAATCAGCGGGGCGCGCGGTGCCCCGAAGCGCGGCCGCGGCTAGAATGCCAGCTGGAAGCCCCTCGATGGGCCTTGCTTTCCCGCGGGGCTAACTGCGCGGAGGTGGCGGCGCCGCTGCCGCGGGGCCGAATGGCCATGGAACGCGCGCCCCCCTCCCCCCCCCAGGTCGGCGCGGCGCGGCGACGCCCGCGCGCGCGCGCGCGCCAGCTTACACCAGCGAGCTGCGGCACAAGCATCACCCGTGACCCGGGCGCCCAAGCGACGGCCCCCCCCCCGCTGCAACCCGGAGAAACTCAATCAATGGAAACGGAGGGCCATCTACGCATGCACTACTATCACCACGCGCCTGTCGCGCGCGAGCCTGCTGACAGCTGCGGGCGCCATCGGGCCGTCAGCGCGGCGCGCCAGTCGCGCCCCCGGGCTCGACGACACCCTGCGCGAGGCGACGCAGCAACGTAGTTGCGTGGGCCCGCGGCAGAGGGGCCCCGCGAGAGGCTCGCGCTGCACGCAAGAAGACGAAGACCTTGCCGCGCAGCCTGGCGGCGAAGACCAGAGGCGCTCGCCGCAACGCCTCGGCGAAATCGAGGGCGAGGGCGGAGACGGTCTCGCCGCGCTCGGGGCTCACCTCCGCAGCTAAAGCGTCGCGCGCCGCGCACCTGCGATCCTCGGCGAGGCCCCCCGCCCAGAGCGGTGCGACGAAGCCGTCGGCCCGCTTCGATGGCTGTTCGAAACGCCCCGCCGTTTCTCAGCGCCGCCCGGCCTGGTCTGCTCGATTATCTCTCCGCGGGGGGGGGGGCGCGGGCCCCCCCCCAAACGCTCCGCCTCGTCGACGGAAGCGAACGAGGCTGCCCCGAAGATCTCCAGCGCGCTGGCATCGTTGCCCACCTCGATGGCGCTGCCGAAAGTCGCTTCAGCCACAGTCGGCCTCGGGTCGTCGGCGTCGTCGACAGCGGGGAACATCCCGCGAGGCAAAGGAAAATATCGCACCCCTGCAGGGGTCGCCTGCCGCCGCCCCCCGCGCGCTCGGCAGGCCCGGCCCGACGTCCGCGGGCGGGGGGCAATCGGCGACCGGATCGGCGCCCTGGGCTTCGACTGCGTCCGCCAAGCGGCCGCTGGCTTCACCGGCCGCGCGCGAAGGCGGCCAGTCGCGCGCGTCGTCCTTGCCGAGCGCGTCGACGGTAGCTAGCCTCGACCATTCCGGGCGCCCTTTCGATGAAGTCGCACGGCGCGTTTCTGGCCCTGGCGCCCGCGATCGAGATGCTCGGCGCCTTCGCTGCCGACCCCGCTGCCCTTCCCAAGCCTCCAAGGGCGACGCAGCCCCCGACCTGCCGGCCCCCCCTCGACGCGCTAGCGAGATTGGCCGACCATCTCATGGCGGCCGCGCGGGGGCACTCGGCGCGCGCCGCGTCGGGCGCACTCGGCCCCCGAATCTCCCCGCGCACCAGCGTGCTGCCCCAGCGACCGACTCTGGCCAACTCGGCCGAGCCGGGCAGCGGGCCGCGCGGCCAGGAGAGCCGCGCGCGGGCAGCGCCAACAGGGGCCGCGGCTAGCCGCTCGTCGAGCGGATCTGGGTGCGCTGCTGCGCCCTGCGTCGGGCGGCCGCCTCCCAGTCGCGACGGGCATCTCGGTCGACGGTTGCGCGTCGCCGACTCGCCCGCAATGTCGCCCCCGCTGAAGGAGGCGAAGAGCGTGGGCATGGCGGCGGCAGCTCCAAATCGACGCTGGTCGATTCTCTCGACGACCGGCCATCCATGCTCAGGGGGGCCTGGAACTCGTCGAGGCCAACCGTAGAAAAGGCCCGCTCCCGCGGCCAGGGCGTCTCACATTGCGCTGGGCGGTCGTCCGCCGCACCAATTCACAAGCCTTCCACAGTCCTGATCGCGAGGTGACTGCCCTCTCTCACCTTGTTCTTTTCCTCCGGCCTCAACCGTGCGCAGCCGCGCCTCTCGGGGCCGCCTGCCGTGCGAGGCGGCCCAGAGAATGTCGAGCTCAGTGGCGCCCAACCAGACGACTGAAGATCCCCGTGGCGGATACGATCCACAGACATTCCCGGACGATCTGGTCCAGAAGGTCATGCTCACTTGGATCGATCTCGACGTTTACGCAGTGGCGCGTGCCACCCTAGCCTGCGATGCGCCGGAGAAGCCCACGATCCGGCCCCGCAAACGCAAGCAAGATTCGCGCGCGCCCGTCTCACTCGGCGCCCAGGACACGGGCTGCCGCGGAAATGCCCCACGCGCATCGGCCTGCTGGGCTCCTCGCCGCGCGAGCCGACGGCGGCGCCCAGGCGGTCAGCGCGCGGCGCCAAGGTGCCCAACGAGGCCGTTCCCATGGAGGCGAGCCGCTGTCGCCGCGCCCACTTAGCAGCAAGCCTCTCGTCCGCCCGCGACGAGTCTGTCGCCGGAGCGGCGCGCCCCCCCGGAGCTGGGGGCCGCACCAGCGCCCATCCCAATGCAGAACTGCGCCCCGACTGCGAGCTGGCGGCTTTCGCTGCCGGGCGCGGCCTCCCTTCAATAAGGGGTCCGTCAGCCGACTTGGCCGGCAGACTTTCGCTTGCTCTTGGGCGGCTGCTTGGCCGGGGCCAAGCACGGCCGTCCTCGCCGACAGTGTGCATCCGCGTCTTGCAACTGCGTTGCTGAAGCGCCCATTGGCGGAGCCAGGCTGCCTAGCCACGGCCCGCTGTGGCGGCGGCGGCGGCATCGCCTGGGGAGAGCCACCCTGGGTGCCGCCGACGGCCGCGGGCTGGATACGCCACGGGGGATATACGAGAAATGGCATCAAAGCCGACATCGGTTTTTAGGACGTTTGCGAGTAGGCACTTTGCGAGTAGTGGAACGCGTTCGGTGAAAGACGCCATGCGGTCGTCGAAGCACGGTGGGCCCAGCAGCACCTCCTGCTGCTGGAGGCTGACGGCGCGTCAAGCCCGCGAGCTTCGGCCTTCGCCTGGTGCGCACCCGATGCTGCCCAGAAGTGGCGACGTCCGCGCACGGAGGAACACCGCTCGAGATGAGTGAAGGGGCCCAGGGACACACAAACCTATACACACAAATCCCAGGATTCCCCATATGATCCGTACTTTTTCGATGTTCGTCTTCCCCCCCGCTTCCCATGTTTTCGCATATGTTCCTGGGAATCGACCATGCATTGCGTCTGTGTGTCTTTCTTCCTCCTGAATGAGGTGGTGGATCGCAAGCAGCTGGTCCACCGTTGGCTCCTCGTCGGCTCACGGAGACGCCCCCGTGCGGTTCCCGTGCTCTTCGTGGCCCCCGCTGCGCCGCGGGGCCGTCGAGCGCCGGGACCTCGCGAGACGTGGTTTGGTCCACCACGCGGTCGAGCCTTACCGTGTGCCCGGTCGTGCTCGCCAGAAGCGTGCGAGCAGATGGTGCTGATGCACCCAGACCCAGACGCCCTGCTGCGCCCAGTGGCGACGCTCCTGGTCGATGCCCACCCGCGCCCCGCGCAGCACGCCAGCAGCACGGTGTGCGTTGAGACGGCGCCCTGAAACAGCGAGCGGAACTGCACTCTCCTCGCCGCCAGCGCCTCCCACGCGCCATGCGGCGACCGCCTGCCTGAGACGATCCTCTGGGACAGTAGCCGTGTCGCCACCGGGATCCCCCGTGGCCAGGCCAAGGGGGGCGATCGCCGATGCCTTCAAAACCTGCTCCGTGATCCCCGCCCAATCGAGCACACCGCCGACGTTCACGATGGACGCAGCCTCGCTCGGGGAGGGGTCCATAGAGCAGCCAGGGACCACGGCCGGCAAAGTCTGCGGCGCAATTGCACCAGTCCCTGCACCTGGGAGCATCGGAGCAAGTTTCGAATCGAGTAGGGCTCTTCGCAGCTGAGCCTGAAGCTCGAAAGGAATCCCAAATTTGCTGCTGGCACAAGAACTGAGTGCGAGCTTGCGCAAAATTGGTTACGGCGTAAGCTTGACCACACAACCCATCCCACCAAACCGCACCCCACGATTGTTACTCCCACACTCCGCGTTCACGCCCACAACAAAAGACCCACGCAGACTTCCTCCTCATCCTTCTCCTCCCCTCCTCCACCTCCCACTCCTCCTCTTCCTTCCTCCTCCTAGACGGCCCCAACACAGCCCCAAGTGCACCCAGATCCCTCCCAGGGGCCCAAATCGCCCCAGCATCAGAAAGGCCTCTGAGGCCTGAAGGTGGCACCAGTAGGGGGCCACATGCGAACCCTACCCCTACCCCCCATGATTTCTGAGGGGGAGAGTGGGGTTCACTTCGTTCGGGAGCTCCCGAGCGAAGTGAACCCCACCCTCCCCCTCAGAAATCGTGGGGGGTAGGGGTAGGGTTCGCCTGTGGCCCCCTCACCAGAGAGCCCCAAGAGGAGCCAAAGTTGGCTAAGGAATTAGTTGTGCCCCGAACTCGTTGAGCAATGGAGAACAAGATCGCCCCAAGGCCCAAGACCCCCAAGAGAGCCCAAGAGAGCCCCAAGATGGCCCCGAGAGAGCAGCAACAGGACTCCAAGAGGGCCTCGAGAATACCTCAAGATGGCCACAAGAGACCTCGAACAAACTTCCCCACGTAAAGATCAGCGTAGTCTTCCTTCTCCTCCTCGTCGTCCTCCTCCGTATGGTCGTGTTCCTCCCCCTACTCCTCTCCGTTGTTACCCTCCCCCTCCTCCTCCTCTTCCTCCTCCTCCTCCTCCTCCCCTGTTTCAACCAACGTCCTCATACAAGCAGCTCTCATGGGTATCGCTTCTGGATGGGCTGGTGGGGAGACGCGCGCGAAGCGTGAAGAATTCCTTAAAAGCCTTCTCCTCAGCCACCCCCTCGTCCGAGACCTGCTTCTTCATGTCCTGCAGCATCGTCACCACTTTCCTGATGGGGTTCGCCCGGTGTTGGGCCTCCTGCGAGAGCTCCGCGGCCCTGCAGGGCACGGCGAGGAAGCACAGCGCGCCCGCGAGCACGCGGGCCGACATTGCCGCAGCAGTCCGGCGAAAACGAGCTGCGCGGGGGCTTCGTTGGTCGGCTTTCTGAAGGCGGAGGGCACCTGAACCGTCATGCACCCATTGCAGTCGTCACACGGCTCCTCCTACTCCTCCTGCTCCTCCTCTTCTTCTTCTTCTTCTTCTTTCTACTATGCCCAGAGGCCAACACAGAACACAGCCAGCGATACTTTATACGAGATCCGAGGGTAGCAAGGGCGAGAGAAGAGAGACTGGGAAACTGACAATCAAGCGGCCCACTACACATGAACGTACGTTCGCATGCCAATCCGCCGACCCCTTGGGGTCATCGGCGTGTGAGATGCTTCCCCCATCCGCAAACGCCTCCCCCCGCGGCCCGGTGCGGTCGGTGTGGAGGGGGGTGGTCCGGCCGGCCCCGGCTGAACGCGTCACGGGCCTCACGACGGGCCATGAGGGCCCCGAGAGGCCCACAAGATGGTCCAAGAAGGCCCCGAGTCGCCGATGGATCGTTCCAAAACGCCCACGACGGCCCCCAGACGGCCCAAGAGGCCCCCGAGACGCCCCAGGAGGCCCCTAAGAGGCGTCCCAAGAGGGCCCCCAGAAGCAAAAATCGCTCCACTCTCTGGAAGAAACGTATGATTTTAGCACACTCGCCTCTTGGGATTTGGCAACGTCCCAGACGGCCCAAGAGGCCTCCAAGATCCCAAGATCACCCCAAGACGGCCCAGGAAGCCCCCAAGAAGGCTCCAAGACGGCCGAAGAGGGCCCCAAGACAACCCAAGAGGCCCCCAAAACGGCTCCAGGAGGGGGCCCCAGGCGGGGGACCCGAACGGAAATGTCGGGCCCTCGGCCCCAAGATGTCTCCAGGAGGCCCCAAGAGGTACCCAAGAAGCCCCCAAGAGGCTCCAAGAGGCCCACCAGAGGCCCAAAAGAGGCCCCAAGAGGCCCCAAGAGGCCCCAAAACGGCCCCCAAAAAGCTTCAAAAGTGCTGCCAGGAGGCACCCGAGAGACCTACCAGGGGCCCCCCAAGGAGTCGGCGGAGCGGCGTAAGCCCAAGAATCAACTCCCACGTTCCCCACACACACACACACACACACACACACACACACACACACACACCACACACACACACACACCACACACATCGCCAAAGGATAGCACCCGCACGCACACAGACGACGACCAGGCATACGCGTGCAGTGACGATCGGTGAAGGACAGCACCCTCGGGACTGGTATGACGACAGGCAGACAGAGGACGGCAGCAACAGAAGGGGCAGTGTTCCTGCGAACTGCACTGCCGTCTGCTTGACCGCGGCAAGACCGGCGAGAGGCCGGCGTGTGCCGCGCAGGGCCCGCGCGCGCAAACTGTGCCGCGACATCCCCGAGGCCAGCGGCCAAGCCCTGGCGAGCGACCAGAGGACGCAGCCGGCCAGGGTGGCTCATGCGCCGCGGAGCGCCACGCGCTTCGTCTGGAGGAGGGAGTAGTCCGCACCGCTCAGCACGGCCTTCGCCTTGTCCAGGGACTCAATCTCCTCGGTTCGCGCCGCCTTGCGCACGTCGAAGTACTTGATCAGCCAGTCGCACTCGGCGTGCAGGTTGCCGATGACCTGCGTCGTCTCCATCAGCTGAACGGACAAGTCCTTCTTGTTCGCTTCCTCGTTCTGCAGGGACTCCTCGCCGTGGGCCTTGGCCATCGTCTTCTCAGTGAGCGCCTTGGAGTCTGCCGCGCGCTTGGCGCCCGCATCTGCCATCAAGACTTCGTAGTCCGCCTGGGCGTCCTTCTCCTCGGTCTCCGCCTCGGTTGTAGTCATGTCGATATCGTTGATGATCTTGTCGAGCATGCTCACCACGACCCCGGTCTCCTGACCCTTCTTCGCGTAGGCGTCAAACGTCGCGGGCGGCGGGGGCGGCGCGACGCCGTCCACGCTCCTGTGCGCACGGATCTGCACAAACGCGGCGGCGCTCTCCGCCTTGTACAGCTTGGGGTTATCCGCGGCCGCGTCCTCGGCGCGTTGGGGCGCGTCACCATGCCTGGGAACTGCCCGGCAGGGCTCCTGCTGTTCTCCAAGGGCGAACCCCTGTCGCCACGGGGGGGGTCGAGCTCGACCCCTTGCAGTTCTGCTATCCAATATTCTGTTCGGTTTCGAGGTGGGCCCCAGGACTGCCCAGCATCGCCCCGAGACGAGTCCACCATCTCCAAGACCAGCCCAAAACAGCCCAAGCGACCCCTGAAAGGCACCAGAAGCGCTCATGCACCTCTCCTGCTACGTCCTGCTAAGGGGGACCGTTCCTGCCGGTGTTGTTGTCAATTAGCACGCACATATACACAATGACACCGGAGAAAAAACCCAATCAGATTTTTGTTGGGGCTATGAGGCTGTAGGGCTATAAAGCTATAAGGTTATGAGGCTATAGGGCTATAGGGCTATTGGGCTATTGGGCTATTGGGCTATAAGGCTATAGGCCATAAGGCTGTAGAGCTATAGGGCTATAGGGCTATAAGGCTATGGGGCTATAGGGCTATAGGGCTATAGGGCTAGAGGGCTACAGGGCTACAGGGCTATGGGGCTATAAAACTATAGGGCTATTGGGCTATCGGGTTACATGCTATTGGGCTATTGGGCACCCCGGGCATCCGGGCACCCGTGCACCCGGGCCCGGCCACCGAGATAGGCGACCAACCTCACCGGCCACCCGGGCACCCGGGCACCCGGGCCCGGCCACCGAAATCGGCGACCCACCTCACCTAAACCTTTAATCCGCTAGGACCCCTACAGAGGCAAGCTCTGATTGGGGAATCTCACACACACACGCACACGACACACGCACCCATTCGCCCATACACTCACTCACACACCCACTTCCGCGCGCGCAAACACAGAAACACACACACTCACTTCTTGGCGGTCGCGACCTCGCGCGCGTCGACGAGGCGACACACGCCGAACACACACACACACAAACACGCACACACACACACAAACACAAACACTGACACAAACACAAATTCAAACACAAGCACAAGCACAAGCACAAACACAAACACAATGACTATCACAAGCACAAACACAAACACAAGCACAAACACACACAACAAACACAACGCACACACACACAAACACAAACACCAACTCACAAACACAAACATACAAACACACAAACACAAAAACACAAACACACAAGCACAAACACGCATACAGACAAACACGTTGTTAGCGTCGCGCCCACGCGCGCGGCGGAACGGCGTAGGCTAAGTCAGCTGGAGGCGCGCGGGCCGCGCCAACTCACAGAGAATGGCAAATGTGGATCCACACATAGGGGATCGACAGAAACACTCGCGAACAAAAACATTCGCGAGAGGAGTACGGAAGGGGGGGGCAAGCTAGGCGCGCTCGCGCCATGTCTGACATCCTAACCCCTCCCACCCATCCCTTTCCATTGCGCTGATGTGTTCTTCATCAGCCGACGACTGTCATAGCGGGCCTGTAATTCCAAGCGGGGCCCCATCGTGTTATGCGCAACTGGGTACTGTAGAACAAAAGTTGCGTACATCGGAGGAAGTGGCAGAGGAGCAGGAGGATGAGCAGGACGAAAACAGTTGATGGACATGGAAGGCCAAAAACACCAGCTGCGGGGGCTGGAGCAGACGGAGCGGGAGGAGCAGGAGGACCAGGGGGAGGCGGCGATGGGGAAAATAATGCGGCGACAATCACAAGGAAGGACACGGATCCAGATAAGTGGCCCGCGTTGGGGCGAGAGTGACATTCTGAACGACGGGATGAAACCGCCGATCCCCCAAGAAAACCACGCGGCAACAGGAATGCAATTTCGGAAATCAAACGGACTATAAAATTATCATGGCGAAAAAAAACAAAGGCCCAACCATATGCACTTGCGGATGCGCACTGGTAGCGTCGTTCCGAATATCGCCCTCGGTAGATCATATTATGGGGCCATGAAGCGGGTGAGTGGTGCGTAGAAATGAAGTGGTGCGGCCACGCGGGCGATGCCCTGGCGCTTGAGAGAACGCCCCCGTACGGGGCCACGAACCGCGTGAGGGGTGTACCGAAACGGGGCGATGCCGCCACGCGGGCGCTGCCACTGGGGCCTTCGGTGGAGCCCCTTTTTATAAGACCACGAAACGTGGCCTGCGGGCCCAGACGCCGGGGCCTTCGGCGGGGCTTCGCATTGGGCCGCGAAGAGCGCGGGGAGCGTGCCAGCATGGGCGGGGCGGCTGCATGTGGATGCCCACTGGGGCCATCCTTGGAGCTCCCTATGGGGCCTCAAGGCGTGCGAGGAATGTGCCAGAATGAGCGGCGCGGCCACATGCCACTATTCTGCTTTTGCGGAGCACCACGGAATGTCAAACTGCAGCCCCCCCAACGCTACGCCGTTGCGAGCGCGGCGCAGCATCGAGCATCGCCCGGCCAGCCCCAACGCATGACCCATGAGGGCCCCTTAGGCGAGCAAGAACTCCCGGGGCGCGCCCAGGACCGACCCCACGGCATTCGGTTTCTGCGAGCGAAAGAAACATTCCCAGGCAGGGGCTCGAGCACGGGGGCCACCCGTTCCTGGTACTCCTGAAGAAAAATCAAATCTCAGCCGGAAGGGGTGCCAGCGCGCGCCCGCCCCCCCCCCCCATTGGGCAGCCCAGATTGCAAGCGCAACGCGGCAGCACTCTAGTGGTGGCTGCACTGACGGCGTGCACTCGCACTGGGCAGTCGCACTCGGGAGTTGCCCTCGGGACTCGCACGAGGGAGTTGCACAAATACTGGGGACTTACCCTGAGGAGCGGCACCAAGGAATTGCGTCAGAAAGAATGACGTGCACTGGAGGTTTCGGGGGCCTGTCCTGCAGGGCAACACAAAAACTCATGTGAACCAGGACATCCAATCGGTCATCGCTATGGGGCTGCTTCAGATTCCCAGCCATCATGGCGACTTCTCAATTCCACGCAATACAGATAGCTGCACGCGCGCACGCGCGCGGGTGATCTCTGCGGCTTCCATCACGAAGCCCACGTTGATTTGGAAAGCCAATCGGTCAACGCTGGATGCTCACTGGAGTTTCGAGGGCAGCAAATCGAATTTCCATTCCAAACAATGGTGCAAAATGCGCGCGAGCACGCCGGCGGGTGTCCTTAGCCACCTACGCTCGCCAGCGCGGGGGGACTCTCTGTCGCGTGGCTTCTGGTGCGCAAAACATTCAACAAAATCCACGTCGCTTGGAAGTGCAATCTGCCACCGCTATGTGATCACTTGAGCTTCCAGGCCAACGTGGCAAGTCTGTATTCTCAACGATAGAGAACGCTCTACGCACGCACGCGCGCGGATGACCATGGTTACCCGCGCGCTTCCGCGCGCGGAAAGCCCTCTGTGGTTTCCTTTGTAGACGACATACAGCAAAACCCAAGTGACCTTGGAAAACCCATCGTTCATCACTAAGTGATCACTTGAGACCAAGGCGCGGGCGGCGATGTGTCTAATCAACATACAATATAACATTTTGCGCGCGAGCTCCGGCGGGTGCCCAGGGGGCGCTCCGTGGTCTTTGAAGCACAGAACATACAGCAAATTCCAAATCAAATGGGGCATCGAATGTGGCCCCTTGATGCGTGCATTTGGGTGGCAAACATGGCGACTTTTCTGTTTCGCGCAATAGAGAACGTCTGCGCGTGCGCGACTGGGCAACCGCGATCCCCCGCACCCCCCTTCGTTAATTGCCGGAGAACAGATGGCAAAACCATGTAGCATCCAGTCGGTCACAGCTAAGCTTTGATTTGGCCAGGCCCGCATGGCGACAGTTCTACTCCGAACGCTTCGGGAACGCAGCGCGCGCACGCGCGCGGGGGGTTCTCTGTCACCGCAGGAGAAAAACATAATATTCACTGGGAAATCACATCTGTCACGGCCAAGTGTTCACTCGAGTTCGCAGGCCAGCATGCCGACGTCTCTATTCTAAACAATGGAGAAGGCTCCACGCGCGCGCGCGCGAGGGGGGGCTCAACAGCGTTCCCCCCGTAACCTTTTGAAACGCCAACGAAAAAGGACCCCCCCCCCGCCGTTATTTCGGCTAGGAGGGAGGACCTGGGGCCCCCGCCCCGTTCGGCTAAGAGGAAGGGGCGCCGAAACCTAAAAGTGCGCCGAAAACAAACAGGGTTTCGAAAACCAAAGCGCCACCGAAGAACGAAACGGCGCGAAAACCAAAAGCGCGCCGAAAACCGCAGGAACGCCGAAAGCCGGGAGGGCGCCGACGACCGAAAGTGCGTCGAAAACGAAAAAGGGCGCGACGATAACCAAAGGAGCGCCGAAAACCAAAGGGGCGCCCGAAAATCAACAGGCCGCCGACAACCAAAATGTCGCCGACAACCAAAGAAACGCCGAAAGGCAAGAGAACCCCGACAACCAAAAGACACAAAAGAAAAGAAGCGCCGAAGACCACAACAAGCTCCGAAACTATGCGCCGGGAACCAGAAAGGCCCCGAAAACCGAAGCAGCACCGAACGCCAAAAAGGCGCCGAAAACCAGCGCCGAAACCCAAAAGGGAACCGAAAACCACAGGGACGCCGGACATGTATAAAAAAAAAAAAAAAAAAAAAAAAAAAAAAAAAAAAAAAAAAAAAAAAAAAAAACACGGCGCGCCGAAAACCAATCGGGCCCCGACAACCAAAGGGTCGCCAAACACCAACATGTCACCGAAAACCAAGACGGCGCCGAACAGCGAAAGGCCGCCCGCGCACCAAAAGAGCGCAGAAAACCAAAACGGCGCCGAAAAACAAAAGAGCGCCGAAAACCTAACGGACGCCGAAAGCCAAAAGGGGCGCCGGAAACAAAGGGGGCGCAGAAACCAGAAGGAGGACAAACATCAGTAAAGCGGGAAAAGTGCGGGGGGGGGCTCGGAAGCCCCCCCCCTTTCGAAACGGCCCTTCTAGCTCCGAAGCGTCCGCCGAAGAGGGGCGGGGGAAAGCTCCG